TCAACTCATTCAAGTACAGGTTGGAGTATGAAAGCTTTGCAAAATAGAATTGTCATTTCATTCATAATAAAATAGTTCTTGAAGTACATGAGGTGACATTGAAATAAAAGGGAAATAATTACAAATGTCAGCAAAACGCTATTCTACAATATCATTTCTTATGCCAGATCCATTGCCTGCCCCATCATTACCAGCTGGCTCACTGTGTCCCTCTCCATCATTGGCTACTTCACCATCTCTGGAGGGAAAGTCAAGGTGGATGATCTCCCCAGTCGGTAAAGTTTTATCAGAGGCAACAGATGTAGCAGGAACGATGGTGGTGATGGGAGGAACATTCAGAGGATGAACAGGTAGGATGACACCTGAAACTGCAATCTCATTGAACTCAACAAAGATATTTTCAGCAAAAGTAGGGGATGGAATATCCTTGTACACGTTCGGTGGGTCAATGTCCAGAGAGGCATCCAGCTCATCCGGACTTGCATGCGAGCTTGATTCGCCTTTAGGAGGAGAACGGTCAATTAAACATCTCTGTACCCCTCAGCATATCTGAGAGCCCCGATTCTGGAAAAGCGGGCATGAAGAGCCCTCATGCCACCATCAACTCTGCTTATGACGTTCAGCAGAGAGGTGCGCTCGTTCGAGAATTTCTCTATAGAGACAGAATGGGTCAACCTTTCAGCAATAAGAGTGCGCTGAAGGTCCCCCTTCTCAACCCTCAAAGCATCCCTTTCTGTCTGCGTGACGTTATTCTCTGTCTTCAGAACGTCAGCCTCATTTTGGAGAGAATCCCGCTCAGCCTTTAGAGCGTCCCTCTCAGCCCTCAGAGTGTCTATCTCCTTCTCTGACTCGTTCAACTTAACCAAGAGCTCCATGTTTTTGGCTTCAGTTATTCTTTTTGATTCAACAGATCTTTTAAGGCCAATAGAGAGGGATTTGATCTTCTTGTTCGCAGTTTCAATACTCTTTTGGAAGGTAAACATCCCAAATAGAGTTTGCACAAAGACACAGGTGTTCTGATGAGTACAAATGTCAAATAATTAGAACGGGAAAAATAAAAGGTAAAAAAGAGAAGAAGAATTACCTCAATAGCAGTTGCTGGGAAGTGTTGGTACATTTCATTGAAGGTCATTTTGTTCTGAATCTCAATGTCTACGGGGGTCCAAAAGCCCTTGTAGAAAGCAAATGAGGTAACTGGGTCTTTGAACAAAGAGTCTGTGTGGGCAATAACTGACCCATCCTCACGACTAAGCAATGGACGCCATGGGGTCACTGCTGGTAAAGAGCCGAAGGTTCTAGCTAATTCACCCTCCGAAATGGATAGCTGAAGAGAGGGGATAGAATTGGTGACCCTGAAAGAAGTCCGGGCCCTTCGGGCTAGAGGGAGGTCACTTTGATCAGAACCACCCTCAGGCATGGGTCTTTTTCCCAATCTCTTTTCTGAAACGTCAGCTCGGGCGGGAGAAGATCCCTCAGCGTTTTGAGAAGAACCCTCAACGTTCTGTTCAGTCAAAGTACAAGAGGGTTCGTCATTCGGAATGACAGGCTGAACTTCAGTTGGGGTAGATGCAGAAGGCCCAGTGATCGAACGCTTGGTGACCTGGGCCATAACCGGGGCAGTTGAAGTGGCCATAGTGGTGACTGGTGCAGCTGTAGGAGTGGGTGCAAAACGTCTCCTCTTGCTGAAGAAGGAATTTGGATACTTTCCATGGTGGATCCAAGGACGGATATGTCAGAAAGATTGTCAGGGGTGAGCAGGTCAGTGGCGGAAGGGATGTTGTTCAGAACTCTCTCCTTCAGAATGTCAAGCCTGGCCTGCAAATGCTGTAAACCAATTCGTCATGATTTATTTGAAGGCATTTACAAAGAAAAGTACAGAAACGAGGAAGGCAAGTTTCACAGTGGCAATCGGTCGAATGTTTCTTAAATTTCTTATATTGAGGGACAGAGCATTCTCCAAAAGTGGTTGGGATAGGGAAAGTCTGAGCAAATGGAGTTCGCCAATTTCCACTGACCTCAATTAGATTTTTCCTCCAACCCTTTTCAAATGAGAGCTTGTCCGTACAGATAGATCACTTCTCGATGGGAAAGAAGTGAAAATACATTTCGTTGGTTCTAATTTTGGTAATTCGGTAGCAACGAAAAAGGTCTATGATATCTAAGTCAAGATCCCTATCACGATTTAAAATCAAAAGGATCGATATTACCCTAAGGAAGTTAGGGTTAACCTGAAAAAGGGGAAAGTCCTAATTTATTGAAAACATAATAAAAGAATGGGTGTAAAGGGAATCTAACTACGTTCAAGTGAAGAGCAGAGAAGAGAACCTCCCCTGGAAGGAGACCTTCACCAGAGCTCTCATCCAGATTCGTGGGGTAAACCATAAGGGAGACGTCGTTAGGAATGTTGTTCCTCGAATGAAGGGCCTCTAAGTCAAGAGCCATAACAATGGTGGAAAATTTTTTCGATTTTAAACTTTCTTTTTGTCGAGAAGAAATAGTAAGGGGTTAGAACTAACCTTGGGAAGGGAGTTTGCAAAGTACCCCGTAGCAAAGCAAAAGTCGAAGAATAGCAAAGGGGAAGTTCGTCGGAGAATGCTAGTAGGTGACAGAGATAATTGAAGAAGATGATGCTTGAGGATAGAGGTGAGAAAGGTTGAAGAAAGACAAAAGGTGAGAGGTTGGGGTTTTTAAGAGCGAAAATGATACAACATCCAAGGAGCTATGATAATAATGATGTAGCAAATCTCAAAGCATGGTCCTTGAGCCAACCATTCGCTTCTCTACATCACCGCCTCAAGCCGTCATATCATGATTGTGTCTTTTCGATACTCTCACCCTAATTAATTAGGGAGAGATTATGGGGGCATATGAGGATACTGAAAATGGACTGGGCCGATTATGACCTAGGTTGCTAAGAACGGGTCAGGTAAGTTCAATTGAAATGAAACAAGTCCTCACTGAGCAAGCCCAAGACCGATGGATCAGTTCGGAAGCCCGAATTAAGACAAAAGGAAATAGGCCCAAAACGAAGGTAAGCTGACAAGGCCAGCCCATCATAAGAAAATCAGTTAGAGAGCTTCAAGAATAGTTGTAACCGTCTATAAATAGACGGAAAAGAGAGAGAAAAGGGATCGAAAATCTTTGAAGTGTAGAATTACTCTTTTTAAATTGAGAGTGAAAATTTCTTGCATCTTTAATGGTCATTCCCACTTTAAATTGCATATCAAATAAAAAAGTAGTTAGAATGTGCATTCTATTCCATTCCTGCACATCAAACCAAACCCAACGCAGCATTAATGTTTTGCATCCTATGATTTTGATGGATCTGTTTTGTCTGCATGTCTATCGACTCTATCTTGGATCTTTACACTGGCTCTTGCTTTTGTTTTATTTGTACTGTTATCATAGTTTCCTTCTTTTATCCTCTTCCTTGAAGTAGATGTCGATTATATGCTTTTTGATTCTTTCTATTATCTTACTTACTATGATATGTCATCTTTTGTTAGACTATAATTCTTATGTATCTTCTTAATGTGTTTCGACTTGAACGAAAATTTACAATTGATTTTTTATACCCATAAAAGTATCCAAAGAGTGAAGAACAACACACACACACACACACACACACACACACACACATATAGCTATATGTAATATGTATACATTTGATTTCTATATATATATATATATATGATCTATAATTGGATACTCTATAATTCAGAGAAGAAATTAATACCTCTCATTGCATCGGCAAAGCTATTAGGCTTTGTTTGGTTGGGTGGACATGGCAAGAAAAGAAAGGAAATTGAAAATTTCTGAGAAGGAAAATTTTGAGAAATCACTTTTCACAACTATCTATTTTTTTTATAATCTATTTTTTTTCTTCCAAAAACATTATATATATATATATATATATATATATATATATATATTTATTTATTTATTTTATATATATATATATATATATATTTGTTGTAAATTTACAATATTATCTGCTTCTTTTTTATTGCAAGTTTAAGGCTATTCAATTCATAAAATAGAAATTTTTAATAATTTTCTTGCAAAATATTTATTCTAACCAAATTAACGTTGGAAACTTAAATTTTTTTTGTAATTAGAAAAAAGAGAACCATTTATAATTTGAGAAAGGGGAAAAAAAAGCATAGTGATACGAGTTTTATCTCATTAATTCTAAAACGAGACTATGATATATAATATGTGTATGTATTACTTAACATTAGATTGTTGAATTCAAGAGGGGGTTGAATTCGAGAGGGCCCATGAACATTTAAAAAAAAAAATGGATATTTTTATTTCTTCATCATTCATATTATTTAGGAATCATTTACATTTACACCATTCAAATTATTTAGGAATCATTTACATTTACACGATCTCATAACAAATGTATGTATTACTTAACATTAGATTGTTCGTTTATTATTAGATTGTTCTTTTATTAACAAATGTATGTATTACTTAACATTAGATTCTTCGTGGATGGTTGTTCAGGACATGGAGACAAGTTAATCTCAACAGTCTCTTTGATATTTTAGAAACTCACCCCAACTTATAAACCTCAAGGTTTATTCCGAGTTTATAAAAGAGACACTATTTCCCCTAGCTAGATGCCTTGTACAACTTCGAAACTATATATATATATATATATATATATATATATATATATATATAGCGTCACACTATACACACGACTTGGATATCGAACAAATTTATATATTTTAGAAAGGAGACTCAGATATGTCTGGATAACAGAATGAGTTGTTGTTTCTGTCAAGGACACAAAGCACACCATTCCTTTAACATCAAATAGGAGACTGAATCTATGAGATTGAAAAGATATATACTAACCGGTGTTGCAACATCGAAGCTAAAGTCTAGAGGATCAAACTTCTACGTATAGGGTCCTTGACAACCTATTGCTTTTCTGTGTAAGAGATCCTGACATCAGGAATCGCTTTAAACGCGGAAACCAGAAGAAGAGTCTGAAGCACTGGGATAATTGTATTAATGGAACCAAAACAAAGTTAACAAAAAGTACCATGTTCAAAGCAACAAATGACAAAATATTGGAAAATAAATCAGTCTTATAAAATACTCAACGCTTCCAAAACTATAATATATCATTCAATCGTCTTCCTCGATGATCTTGGTGCCGAGCCCTTTCAGCCCTTCTGGTGGGATTTCAGCAACAGTAACAAGGGAGTAGAGCTCTTCCTTGGCGTCTTCATCATCATTCCTCTTGCGAGCAATGCGAACTCTGACCCGTCTTGGGACACTTCGGATCCCCCTGCTCCAAACGTACTTGTTTAGCTTCACGTCCACTCTCACATCCTTGGTCCCCATGGCTTTCTGTGCAAATTTCCTTATCTCCTTTATTGCATTAGGAGCCTTTTTCTTGAATGTGCTGTTGTTCACAATCGTAAAATATAGTCTAAACCAAACCTTTCTTATAAAAAAAATCACACCTTTCTTATCAAATCACAGAATTAGAAAACATTTACAGTTCAGTTATGTAAAGATAAAGAAATCTCCTTTCAGTGCATCCATTAGGTAATTTAACTATTGAAGTCATTAAATTTAAACAAACTGAGACAATATTGTGACAATTGTACGCAGTATCACACCCAGTGAATGCATATGCTGTAGAGATCATGAACTATGATCAACCTATACCACCATAACATAATTCACAATAAGATGCGCATAAAAACCACTATTTTCCATTTCGTATGGTAATGTACTGGGAGAAGGCAACAAAAAGTATATGATTTGGTGAAATGGTGTTAACAAACTATCTGCTCATTCATCATAAAATAACATCTTCGCCATTTAATACGCAATTAGTTTGGGTGCTCAATTATTAAAAGAGTAAAGACTAACAATTTCCATAAGATCGAGAGAGATAGAGAGAGAGAGACTGGGAGCAAGGTAAGATTAACACCATCCATATTGATCGCATTGATAAATGGATACATTTGCAAACTTGAATAATTTCTAAGAGACCACACAGAACAATTCTATGAGAACCCAGAGAGTAATACGCATTTGGGTAGAAGACTGCACCCAAAATACAAAACCAACCAGTTTTGAACAGCTATTGTTTAACCAAATGAAAATTATGAGTCAGTTCTACAAATTTGTTGTAACTTCTACATAAAAAGAAGTAAATAATATATCAAATGTAGTGCTGTCATTTAACTCCAATCTCTTGTAGAATATGCAAGAGAAGAAACAGATATCAACACAAGATCTATAGGTTTCAGACTCCGAACCCACTGTTTTAGCTAAAGGGTAAAGAGTATAGTTAAAACTCAAAAAAAAAAATTTGATAAGTGTATTCCTTTGCGAAAAACTCAAAATTTTATTTATAATAATAATAATAATGAATAAATAAATAACTCAATATCTGCCAATTCTGATGTCAGTAAGCAAACACATGATACATTGAACTTAGAATTCATTCTCATGGTGGGCATTCTACTTAATATATCCAAAAATTGATTTCTTCTACTGAATTTATAGACATTGTTGGGACTAGAAGTAAGGTAAGATTAACACCATGGACAAATGGATACTTTTGCAGACTTGAATAATTTCTACGAGACCTCTCAGAGCAATTATATGAGAACCCAGAACAATATGCAATTGGGTAGAAAACTGCACCCAAAATACAGAGCCAACCAGTTTTAAACTGCAATGGATTAACAAAATCAAAATTATGAGTATGTCCTACAATTATTGTAAGTAAAAAGAAATAAAAAATATATCAAATGTAGTGCTGTCATTTAACTCCAATCTCGTAGAAATTGCAAGAGAAGAAGCCGATATCAACACACAATCTATGAGTTTTTCAGACTCCACGCCCACCATTTAGTTAAAAGGGTAAGAGTATAGTTAAAACTCAAAATCTGTAAACTCTAATATCATCAAGCAAACACATGATACATTGAACACAGAATTCATTCTTATGGTGAACATTCCACTTAATACAGCCCCCAATAATAGATTTCTTATATTGAATTTATAGTCACTGTTGGGACTAGGAGTAAGGTAAGATTAACACCATTCATAGTGATCACAAGAATAAATGGATACTTTTGTAAACTCAAATAATTTCTAGGAGAACTCTCAGAACAATTATATGACAACCTAGAGTAATAATACGCAATTGGGTAGTGCAGCTACTGATTAAAAATTAAAATTATGAGTGTGCTACAGTTTTACAGCATGTTGTACATAAAAAGAAGCAAGGAATATCTCAAATGTAGTGCTGTCATTTAACTCCAATCCCATAGAAAATGCAAGAGCAGAAGCTGATATCAACACACGATCTATGAGTTTTTCAGACTCCACAGCCATCTTTTAATTAAAAGGGTAAGAGAATAGTTAAAACTCAAAATTGTCTAGTAAGCGCAAACACCTGATACATTTGAACTTAGTAGAGCCTCCAAAAATTGATTTCTTATGATGAATTTATAGTCATTATCCCAGCAGCATATCCAAAATGCTACTAAATATTAACTAACCATCTAATCTCACACAGATCCCCAAATTTTCAGTGGAAACATCAGATTTGCATTTATTTGAAACTACCACACTTGTGGTGAAGATTACTAATAATGATTTAACAAAAAGTAAGCATATCAAACAAAAAAATAAAAATAAAATAAAGATAACCCATTTATGACTGCACAACAGTTCATCAAAAAAGAATTTAGGAAAAAAAATTTATTGAGAATAACATTCGATTAAAATGATTAAAATGAAGAATAATAGGGCGCAAGAGTGACAAGCTGTCACCGTTTAGAGTATTTGATAAACCCAATTTACAGGATTGAGAACGTCAGTCATCTACAGATTATACATCTGTATACGAGGTACGAACAAAATGAGAGAGTGGCATTACCAGCTATGCAAGCGCTTGTGAAGGTTGATGGTGTACTCCCTAGTCACCACCTCCTCCTTTCTTCCTGTTGTTTTGTCGCTCATTTTCGCTCTCTTCCGACTAGTCGGTACCTGCATTCAACAACGCGAAAAAATACATAAATTCAGCTGATTTTCTACAAAAATCATTCCTTCAATGTACAGAACTCTCTTTTCCCTAATTTTTATCAAGACTATAAATCTAGATCTACAATAGAATCGGCATAGCAAAATGAAAAGCATCAGAGAAATATCAACACACATACTGAGATATACATACATACACGTATATTAATAAAGAAAATAATCTAAAGCTACTATTTGATGAGTTGAAAGGCTTGGTTCCAGAGAGGGAAAAGAGGAGAGAAAAGAGACGAACCTAGGGTTTGAAGTTTGGTGACGAGAGGGGCCGAAAAGCAGAGACGAGGTTTCAACAAAAATGTTGGGGTAGTGAAGTAAACCCTAGACTCATACTTTTATAACGCTCTATAAGATATGCTATTCCCTTGTTACGGTGTACGGAGTATTACTATTTATTAATATTTTTTTATTTTTTGGTAAATTATACATTGACCTTTTATCATGTTTTTTGAATAACACATTTATAGTTATATATATATATATATATATATTGCATTTTAGTACAATAAAAATGTCTTTCAACGATAAAATTGAAATTTGAAAATTAAAAAATTACTGACACCAACAAGGTAAATTTATGACGAAGTCATTATAATTTATTTATTTATTTTTACTCACATCATAAAGATACTTAACTCTCACCTTTACACTTAAAAAATAGAAAGTGAGAATATTGCTAAATTACTCTCTTAAAGGCACATTACACAAAATGCTTATATGATATACTTGAACACGAAATATTACTGAACTACTCTCTTGTTCAGACAAAACTAATCTAGTTGATTAAACAATTTTAAAGTTATAGTATTGAAGTTTGTTTTAATTTAACTTCTTTTGTTCGTAACACATAAACTAGAATGTTCTAATAATAATTATAATTATCGTGAATTCATGATGAGTAATAGTGTTTGTAGTTATTGAAATATAATTATCATGAGTTCATTATGGGTATACTGTTTTTAGTTATTTTGGTCCATTTTGTGTTACTAGCCCTATGTTTGGTAAGAGGTGTTTGATTTAATAGTATATTGGTGTTATCTCTCATTATTTATTATTATCATTGTTATTTATCATTCCTGAATTTTGGAAATGATCACTTTCAATTATTTTGTGAGGATATGCCCTCGCTAGTTGCCTTGTATTAGTGTTATTTTGGTTTAATTATATATATATATATATATATATATATTATGATGGGTAATAGTAGTACATCTTATGTTTACCAATTGTCCCATGCTTGTCTCACTGGCTTTAACTTGAGTAAGAAAATGTTTTATTTTTTATTCATGAGGTAAGAATATGGTTTAGTAGAGCTTTTTTAATATATATTTCAGAACATAAATAGCTTTTTTAATATATATTTCAGAACATAAATATCAAGCAAAACTTTATTGACTTTTTAAATGTGTATATATCATGTCAATTTATATCAATTCACATTGTTAAATTTCTTATGTTGGATTAGATGGTTTAGATTTTGGAAGCACCCATTTTAATTTTGATAAACTAAAAACAAACCTATCATTTACGCTATTAAAAACATCTGAAATCAACTTACTAAGGGTTTTTGCTTTCAAACTTACCACACACAGTCTGCCCAGATCCCAGAAATCAAGACATTCAGGGGAAAAGTTGCATCAAACTATTACATTGACATTCGAAAGACGTATACATATATATATATCACAATAATTATTGCAACTTCTAAACTTTTTTAAACGAAGGTTTATCTACTGATTATTATACAATATATAATTCATGAAAGCAAGAGCAACACTTCTTAGTAAGGGAACTACATGAAATTACAAGATCTAAACAAAACTAACCCAGTAGTAGATTCTAACTTCAGTCAAGTCCCACACACACACACACACACACATATATATAGAGAGAGAGAGAGAACCAAATGGTCAAATAATTAAAAATTCAAAGGCTCATTCCAACAGGGTAGGGTGCTTCTCCTCATATATAGCAATAGTAACATCCGCCTACTAAAAGGATATAATCATAAAAGGATTCAAGTTTCAGCTTACATAGATTATGGAGTTTGAAGCTAATCTCAATAACATAGTAGCAAATTAAGCTCACCCTGGAAGTGCACAAACAACTCGTTTAAGCCTCATCACAATTCCATTGTATCACCAGGACGACACAGTCACACAGTTAAAATCTTTTGGCAGATCGATGCACACCACATAAAGCAGAGGGCAGTCGACTGGCTCCCAAGACTTCGTGATCAGCGCAGAGATACCTTCTGAACTATCAACTTTATTTCCTTCATCCTCATATCAACTAGTTGCTGTAGCTGTTCTTCTGGACTAATTTGATTTTCATCCATCTCAATGCTACTAGCTTCGCCGTTCTGGGACTTGAACAAGACAAATGACATTTCCTGATCATAACTGGTCGGGACTTCAATCACTCGCTTCCCAGCAGGGCCAGTCTCTTTCCCTATGACATCAGCCTTTATACGATCTGAAATGATTGTCCTGTAAGTCTCCATGTATTTGTCAATGGGATCAAGGCTGACATAGATGAGCACTTCCCAACACTGTAAAAACTGTTTCCTGTTGATTTTTAAACTTTTCCTGACATCTTCAATAGCACTCACAGGTGGAACAAAATGGCAAGGTTGGCTTTTCTTTGACAGATTTTCTTGCTTCAGACGTAGGATTACTGAATTAAGTGCATCCTGAATTGGGTAAAAAGCATGCAGGCGTAGCACATCAATACAGGTCCGCACGTGTTGTAAGGAGTCCGAAGGCTCTTCAACGGTCAAGTCATAAACATTTTCACGAATAGCAACAGTATTAAGCACCTCTATAAAGCAACGGCCATGACCCCTGTGTTGGTAAGGAGGAAGTACAAGTATCTGCCATCAACAAAAGCTAATCAAAAGCTATAAACAGCAAAGAAACACACCAGAATAGGCAATAATAAATATTCACAAGACGCATCTACATAGAACACCAAAACTTTTTTTTTCCGTTTTCAATTTGTCATATAAGTTTCAATGTAGAGAAGATTGAACCTGACTAAGTCGCAGGCGTAGACCGTCAGGGTAAAGGTAAAAACGATATACAGCTGCAAAACCAAGCAATCTAAGCTGATTGTCCCCCTGCTGATCAATTTTCTTCTGAACCAAAAGATAGATCTCCCATCTTGGATCAGTAATATCTATAGGATTACTACCTGTTTCAGCACCACTAGTTAGGAACTGAAGTTGTACTTCTATGGCCTGTTTGGATGTCCCCTTAAAGTTAACTGTCCCCATTCACTTTTCACATATGCATTTTATCTCGAATGGATCACTAGAGATGATGTCAAGAATTTCTACAAGATTCTACGGAAACCTAAAAGCAACAGAATCGAAAGAAATATAGTGAAGTCCATCTTTCTGAATAGACCCAATCAAGATGAAATGCCGCATTAAATAACAAAAAATGTGGCCATTCAAATGCAAAGGATATCCAAACAAGCCCTTTATTTGCCAAACAGGTATGCAAATAAAATGATTTCGCAAGCAAAAACAGTTGAAGAATTACCATCTACAAGAAGAAGTGCAAAAGGTACCAATCGACTGTAAAGGTGTCCAACATGCATGCTGCCTACAACCCGAACAACCTGAACGCAGGAAGAAAAGCACTGGCGCTTAATTCCAAAAACGTATACTTCTCAGAAATGCACACAGAGGGACAATATGGAGAAGGAAAGAACAACTCATCACCAAAGAGATTCTAATAATCAGAAAAATACATTATACATAAGAAAGATTCTCAAACTTAATGGCTTTTCATTTGGATCTTTAAAATAATTAAATAGAGGGGACAAAAATAACAAAAATTGGCTTCCTCAAACATCTTTAACTATTTGATTCTTTCCAATAATAGAAGAGAGGGAACATGTACAATAACAGTGAAGGATCCAAAAGGTAAACCAATCTCAGTGTGGCCCCTCTAAAATTATTCATCCACAGTCACTCAACGGTTGCCACTTACCAATGAGAGCTACGTGCTGCAGTACAGAAAACACTCCCAAAGAAGAACAAAACAAGGAAAAAAAGGTGGGGCATTTGTTTCCCCTTTCAACAAATGATGGCAGAACTCAATGATACAGTGAAGCAGTTTGATGTGATGACCACTTACAAGCAGGCAACTCAACAATTTAAGGCAAAAAAAGGTAGAGAAAGTTGTACTGCTCCAGAGTGTCAAGTTCAATGTGTGCTGATTGACAACTTGACATAATGGAATCAGGGAAAAGGTCAGCTTAGAAGAACTATTCTACTAATGCTCTAGATTAGCAGCCAAAACAATCTAAAGGGTAAAAAATTTGGCTAATTTTTGGCAACAAGGTGGGCACTATTTAGCCTAATCCATGAAATGCAAGCCAAGAACCATCATGCTCACTCTCATTCTTAAAAAAAATAAATGTCTGAAAAAGAACCTCAACATCAGAAGCCTCTGCTTTTAAATGAACATTAGAATCGTCATTGTAACCATTGGAGGCTTTTTGTTGCAATATCTCCCCATTAGAGACGATGGATCTGTGAATAGACAAAACAGAAACCAAAAACAAAGCAAGTCAAGAAAGTACCATTTTTTTAAAGGGAAAAAGGAAAGGAGAATAAGAAAGCATAAGAGTGAGATTTTAATTCGTATATGGAACATACTTAACATAATGACACTCGGTTGAAAAAGTTTGAAGGAAGTCATCTTTTGTCTCAACAAGATTCTCAGCAAATATATTCTGATAGAATCAACTAAATGATCAGTGTACCACAAATACAGAAGTTAGAGATGAAGAAGGTAATTCAAAAAGGCTGATCAATGAATACCTGAAGAGCCGATTTCAGATTTGTGATCCCTTTGCCTCCCTTGTAATAGTTAAATGATAGCAGCCATTAAAGATCAATCAGAATACACAAAGCAAAAAATACATCATTTTCGCATCTGATTTTAAAAAACCAAAAAGAATGCATAACTGAAAAATATATGTAAACCCTCTTAGGCTGCTACTAGGACAAAGATGAATGTACTTACATCAGATGTGCTCTCAAATGTAACATCAGCATAAGCATGAAATGATATGCTGCTAACCCAGATGGTGATCTGCATTTATTGGTGATACAACATACTCTTTAAAGTTCAAACGGATTGTAGATAATATATAATAACGGGATATGTATCTAAATGTCAATACTACCATGCCTAGCAAGAAATGCAGGTGAGCCATATTGGGGCAATCCAATAGCAGAAACATTATCATGTTAGAGACTAAGTGATTTTAAGGCCTTATGAGGATAAAAGCCTCATCTTTGTTATTATAAGTCAAATATATATTTTTCAAAAAGGAAAAGAGCTAAAGGTGTAATATAACAAATTCATGTCTCTTCTACATTATATCATTACTTCTTTTATGAGATTTAATATCATATAATGATGTGAAGTTGTAAACAATACAAAAGGGAAGGAAGAAGGAAAGATAAATTTAAGTCCATTTACATTAGATATAGGCCATAGACAAGATCAAGCAAAAAGGTGTCTTCTTGAATGTGTATCAGAAGTTCAGATGTTATTTACGTAATATATTTTTTTCTGGTATATTATAATCATGTTAGTCATCTTAACTAATCAATGGCAAGATAACAATTGAATCTATGTTATGAACGGAAAGGACTTCTTTTGGCACAATATGGAGAACATGTTCACGGGAAAACAATTTTTCACTGACCAATCCCACAAAGACAGAAATAAAATTTGGAAGAGATGGTTCTTAAAGCATCAAATAATCTACACAAGTAATAATTCATATCTGATTTGAATTGAATGCATAATACCTTCAATCCTTGATAACCATAAATCTTCCCATCTTCTTCAAAAAAGTGATTCAGGTCAATTGGTTCGACACAGAAACTGTCGGGAGCATCCACTTCCTCTTTGCTAGAAACTAAAAGATTAGAAATCGAATGATTGACCATGGAAAATTAGGCTCAGCAGTCAGCAGAACACAAATGAAAACAATGATATATAAAAAAAAAATATGTGAAATTTAAAAACAAACCAGAAAGAAAGCAAATACATTATTTAGACACGTTCATTGATAGAGTCATCCATGAAAGATGTTTGGTTCAATAAGAACCAAGCCAGAGTCAGAAGTGAAAAATCAACCTTCTTTTATTCAACTTGCACGAGCCAGATAAAGATGCATAGCTTCACTTAATACAATAGCTATGTTCTACAATATACAAATTAAATACCTAAGCTCTTAATTTATAAGTAAATATAAAATGGCTAGATCTATAAGAGTGAAATTCTGGATGGATAACACAATCTACAAATTAAAAGGTAAATTTTAACAAAGGGTTCAAACACACTGCAAATTGAACGGAGCTGTGGGTATTCTTAAACCCGGGCTCTGCATCTCATGCTCATTACTAACCATAGTACAAACCCAACAACTAGGGTCATTAGCCCTAAGTTTAACAAACCTAAACCCAAATGATTACAACTTTTCACACCTCAGTTGCTAAGTATTGCAAAAATCTGATATTTACATATAATAGACAAAAAATCATACCTAGATAAATCTTGATGCACTCATTCGCTTCGATTCCTGTATCTGCAAGGTAAAAATTAAACACGAAAAAAAAATGAGAGAAAGCGAGCTACATATGAAGAAGAAAAAAAAAAAATTGCTTAGAGAAATAAATAAACTGTGATGAAGACGAAGAAAATTTTGGGTGAAATTAAAGCAGAACGACGAGATTGTCTCACCGATTTTGGCGAATCCGACACGCCTTCGCTTCTTGGCGTCGGTAATCGGATCGGAAGATTGATGCTTCGTCCCCATTTTTGGGCTGTTAGGGTTTCGTCGGAGCGGGAAATGTGAGAGGCGGGAAATAAATATAAGGTGCAAACTGTGTGTAAGTGTGTGTGTATCTATATAGTACGCATGCCAACTCAGTCCCTTATTACTCCTTTACTCAGTAGTGAGTCTCATCCCTAGCGCGTGTGTTGCACATCCTTACTCATCAATCATCATCAAAAGAAAAAGAAAATATAAAAAATTGACGGTCTCACTTACTTATATTTTAAAATATTAATCAACAAAATTAAGCTCTGGTTTAAAAAAATTGACGGTCACAATTACTTATATTTTAAAATATTAATCAACAAAATTAAGCTCTGGTTTAAAAAAATTGACGGTCACAATTACTTATATTTTAAAATATTAATCATCAAGAGTTTAAAATCCCACAACAAAATTAACCACAAGGAACACCACTGAGTTCAACTAACCTAACCAACCTAAACTCTTTCTGAATGAATTCTAGTCCGTTTGGTTGTCAAGTAATGAGAAAGGAAAAGAAATATATATATATATATATATATAATTTTTTTGAAAGTTTGGTTTAGAGGGAAAGTGAAAGTTTTGAAAAAAGTAAAATTATCGCATCTAATTTAAAAGTAAAATTCCCGCATCTAAAAAAAATTTAGTGCATAAAACATATAAAAATTTACTTTCTTACAAAAGTTGTGCACTTTATATATTACTTTCTTATTATTCCCATGTTATTGTCTCTGTTCTTCGATCTTCACTTAATTACAAGATTTCATTAAAAAGTAGAGTTTCTTTCTTTTGTAAATTCCTTGTTTATATAATCATATATTAATAATTTAATTGTTTGTATTTTTATGTGTGCATCTAAAATTAATTTATTTTTTTCTTTCATAATTGAATTATTGTATTTTTTTTCAAAAGGCCTGAAATAAGTAAGATATTTTTTTTCTATAATTGATAATGATGAAGAGTAATTATTATTATTATATATATATAACTATTTGTTGATAACAAGAGTGTTCGGTGAAAATTAATCTACATTATGTTAACACAATTCGTTTCATACTTAACATCAAACATTATCGTAAAATAAATAATTAATAATTCTTAAACAGTCTACATAATCGGTCATGACTTTTAATCTTTGTAATTAGATATATTATATCATTTACAAATAAATAATAAATAAGAAAACAAATGTTTGAACTTTGATAGTCCACTCTACCAAAAGCTTATTTTTCTTACAATAAAAAATAAATAAATAAATAAATATCGAGAATTCAAGTCCATAGAGGAACAAGTGAATATATATATAGAGGGAGGAGAATGCAAAAAATTGTATTATGATTCCACATATTATTCTATTCCATATTTAATAAATAATTAAGTATAAATAATATTCATTTAACATAAATTTATTTATTTTTTACTATTTAAAATTATAAGAGTATTTTTGATAAGTAGAATAATTTTATTTTCATTTTCATACTATGCAAACTAACAAAATAGTAAATATCCATCAAACGAATTGTACAATGAAAATTTTATTTTATTTTATTTTCTTTCCCATCACTTTATTTCCCTTTCACCTTCCATAAAAAAATTTCCCTTTCACTTTCCATAAAAAATTTCGCTCGATGAACAGACTAAGTGGTTTGCAGCAGTTGAATCATGCCTGTTTGATGACCAAACTAACTACCTTGCAAAACCCCCAATCACGCTGACTGTGTGAACAAACCAACATCCTATCCTTACCTTCATTTAAGGATCAATACATACAGAGGGAATGATAAAGCCGTTAACGCGGAGTCCATTAGGAGGGTAGTTGAGCTAGTAGTAGTGTCAGTCTGTTCTGTCCTGCTAATCATAATCATTAGGCCGGAATTAGTTCCCCCAATATCTCACTCCCGAACATTAAATCTGTTATTGCCAACACGTTGTTGTTGCCGGTTTACCATACTCGACTCCACTAAGCTCACTGCAACAGACAATAACGAACATTGTGTAATCCTTTCATTTGACTTGCAAGGGCTGCATTTTTCAAATCATGCCTGTAGGAGTTATCTGCGACCTGGAATAATGGCGAGTCAACCATTTAGAAATAGAAGTCATGAGAAGATAGGTGATGGGAACAAGAGAATAGAAGAGAGCAAAGATATAGCCTTATATATATACACATATTCCCTAGCTAAGGATCTTAAGTATAATTAACATAACTAAGTAGGCGACAACTAATTAAGCCTAAAATGATACTGGATTCAGTATTTCATTGAAGATCCCATGCAAAAGGGATCTTCTTGCTCATCACTGCATTGGAAGACCTCGAACTTATTTGAATCAATTTTGGAAAGAGAAGAAAGAATGAAAGATGTCACAAGTTCATTGGAAAGCAAGGAATTGAACATCATCTAATCACAGAAAGAATTTTATGTATTCACGAAAGAATCCACAATATTCCAAAGATAAAAAAAGTCCCAGAGAAACATACCCATATGGTGCTTAGGAAAGGGATATCATGCCTTTGCATTCAGTCATTCACAAACACTAACTATAAAAGCGCATACTACATCTGCTTGAAATTTAATCACAAAGTAAGCATACCACATCTGCTTGAAATTTAAATGACAATGCCATGATATTCCTTTAAGAAATTTAAATGACAAAGCCATGATATTCCTTTCTAAGACATGAGATTCCAATTCAATGGAAACAAAAAATTCAACTCAAGATCCTTTAACCTTAATGGCTTATATGATCTAAAACAAACCAACACCGTGGGACCTGATTTATGGTAAAAAAAAAAAAAAAAAAAGAAAAAAAAAATGAAACTTGTAATAGAATTGACTCTGCATTGATGAAAACTCCATTAGGTCTTTTTAACTTAAACAAATTTCAGTTTAGCCAAGTTTTTAAGTCCATATTTTCTTCAATTTCAATCCTTTGGGGGATAGGAGTTGGCTTATAAACATCACAAGTATAACCAACACTTGGAAATTCAACTCAACTGGAGAAAAGAATTGTCCTAATTTCTCACCTGTCACAAAGTCCTAAGCAACTCCCTAAATCTATATGTTTTTGCAGCTTTTCACTAACATGTACAAGTCATTGAACCATGGATCACGAAGTCCTTACAGCTGTTAAACACGATGCAACAATACAAAAATAATTAAACCTTTTTAATGATTCAATATGGCTTTTTGCTACCTAATCCATACTTTCTCATCAATTTCTAATTTCTTTATTTCTAACCAACCAATATCTATCTAAACAAACTAATTCAATCAAGTTCATAACATGTTTTTGGATCATCCAACATATTTATACCAGAAAGTACAACTGACCTCACAACCAACATTATAAAATTCTCATTAGAATTAACATATATAATTTAGTCACACTGAAATGTATAATAAGCACCTAACTTCTACTTGGAGGGGTTAAACACAACATAGAACCTCAGATCCCCGACTCTACAAAGTCATTCCGGCCATTTGGAAAATGGTAAATGTCACCGACTCACCATTTTACCTCCTCATGGACCACAGTTCCAGTTAAGATCATACCTCCGTAAGTCATAGATTTCACCACATAAACTTGTGAGCTGTCTCTTTTGAACTCCCATCATATTTATGCCATCGTCGACTTAAATTCCTTAAAGGGTCGGATATCGGGTAGGGGAGGAAAGGTGGTGTGCGTTCAGGTAGTGATTAGTCTTTGTTGACAAGTGATTAAGTCATCTTAGCCAACAACCACTTCTTCTTTTATTCTACAAAACCATCACTAAATTCTACAAATTCATTATTTTGCTAGTGTATCATCAACAGCACTAGTAAAGCCACTCATTTCACTGAATATCCTTATTCAACAACATTCATTCTATGAACAATTTTCATGACAGCCCCAATTCTATAATAATGCATCATTTTGAAAAACCCCAATTCTCCTTATCAAACCATACCCAATACGTACAGATTACAGACACAACCAGACAATACAACCACAATACATACCATAACTTGAGTTAGTTTATACCTGATTGGCAACATCCTTAGCCATCCAACCGAATTCCTTCATCATCACTGACTTATGAAGCACAGATGAATCATTTCCTCCAGGTTGAATCATAACCGTTTTGTGATTTGCTAATCCTGAATTCCACAAACAAAACCATAAGTTAATATTTCTATTCTTTTACAATTTTACCAAAAGCATCATACATATATATATATATATATATATATATGTATAATCCTGTGCACCAGAATGCTTGTATGAGTTGAGGTTGTTACCTATTGCTCTTCTTGCTTGACTGAACACTGGCCGTCCCATTGCCTAACTCTTTAACCAAAAAGGAGTTATTTTTCTTCACAATTTCCCAAATCAACGGCCCAGGAACTGTTGCCATTGGACCTATAACAAGAGTTTCGAGAGCTTTTAGTTACATACAAAATAATAGCGACATATTAAAATACGTATTAGGAAAGGTGAAAAACAAAAATAAAAGTATCAAGGTAGATAGTTTTTTTTTTTTCAGTCATGTGAACAAAAATTGATGTTAGATTAGATACAATATCAGCCGAGAAAAGAAAGTATATTCCCACAAAGACATATAATTATATATATATATACATCTAGGAATGTGAGTGTGTAATGTGCGACTGTGAGGCAAAGACATATAATTTTATATATATATACATCTATGAATGTGAGTGTGTAATGTGCGACTGTGAGGCGAAATCAGAGAGACATAGACTCACAAAAGCACAGAGCTCAGAGGGGGCGGGAGTTAGGGCGTACGGACGTCGTCGATTCTGACGTATCAAAATTAATAAAAATGAGAATCTGACATCTGAGGGCGTTTGGTCTAGTGGTATGATTCTCGCTTTGGGTGCGAGAGGTCCCGAGTTCGATTCTCGGAACGCCCCCTAATGACGTCCTTTTCGATTTTTTATTTAAGGTAGAAAATGTTTTTCTTTGTTTAACAACAGCTTTAAAATTCAGTTTGCTGGACTTTTTATTTAGGGTAGAAAATGTTTTTCTTTGTTTAACAACAGCATTAAAATTCAGTTTGCTGCAGCCCTCTAGAGGACTTTCTCCATGGTAACACTGCCCAGGCAAACTCTTGTATCTGGCTTTTGAATAGAGTGCCCAAAACTTGATTTAGTTCCAGTTAATGATTTTGAACCATAACTATTGTACTGAGTTAACCAGTACAAAGATTCGGCAAAGCAAAAGGAAACACAGAGTGCCCAACAACGGTTGCCTTCAAGAGGGAGGACACCATCACAACCATCAGCATTTGTTTCCCTGCTGCATGAAGTGTGTCGGCGTGGTATATTTTAGATATTAATTCAAATTTTTGCACAAGGATCATTGGGTAACAAGCTTGCTTCAAAAAATAATTAAGAAATAGGAGAAAAATTCACATCTCATCTCAGAACTAGAAGAAAATATCATTCCATTCATGACAGTATTATTTATATGTACACCTCAATAAAAGAAAATTATGAATATACTACATATAATACAAATATACAACCACATTCCACTTATGAATATATACACACACACACACACACACACACAACCACATTCATTAACCATTTTGATGCTTTCTAATTTCATTCTGGAAGACAGGTGTTAGGTTGCTGGAGCCAAACCATAAACTGATTTTGGTAGCTGGTCGAAAAAGCAAACTTGACCACGATCATCCAGGGTATAGGCGTATGAACGGAAACTGGTGAGAACCATACACCGAGAAGCCAAAGCTGGTCAGAAGACACAAAACTACTGCAAGCAAGCCACAGATTGACTTTATACTCCGGACAACTGGATTGCCAGATTAAATGCCATCACAAATCCAAGCATCTTTCATCCCTTCTTTCCATGTTCCCCATCTCCATCTTACTCTTGGACAATTAGCCATACAACTCAAGATGAGATCTCTTGATATATTAATTTCAACTTCATGGTGGATGAGCAATGCCATATCCGCCAAGTTGGTGCATTTCTCCAATAAATATAAAATAAACGACAGTGTCATCTCAATATCATGTACAACTACACGTGCAATAATTGTTTTTAATCCCTTCATTGCACTCCCAATTTCAGAACCTCCCGCAAGAAAACAAGTCTCTCCTTTTGACCAAGCACCAGGGCCTAATGTTAGGGAGCTCAAATTTGGAAAAACATGAAATACTGACTCAAGGCTGAACTTTGTCATTTCCAGCGATTCAGCCCAGTTTGGAGAGTCCAAAGTTAGAATCTTAATAGCTTTACCACATGAAAACATTCCAACTAGGCTGCAAAGATCTTTAGACTCAAGCTGAAGGGATTTCAAATTATTACACTCTTTTATTTCAAAGTTGCTTGCTTTTGCAAGAGAGAGATGGAAATCAGATAACAATGGGGTTCTGATGATAAGTGACCCTGGCTTCACGCATTCAAGTTTGAGTTTGACAAGGTTGGGTGCAACTATGGTCAGAGAAAGCGGAGCATTTGACACAGTCCATTGACAGGTTTTGAGGTGCAAAAGATGAATCTTAGGTTCCTTGAGTCCTCCAACACCTATTAAATTGAGAACTTGCAGAGAAGGGAAACAATCATTCACCTTGCTTAGATCCTCATCATCCAGTCGTATGTATTCGAGTGTCAAACTTGTAAGCATAGGCATTTGATTCAAGTCGTCCACCGAGAGCCAAGCATTCTTCAACTCTAGTGCAATGAGACTATGGCCTGCACAATCAGGGAAAAAAAAAAAAAAGACAGAAAAACAGAATCTCATGTGTTTCAGTTGCACAAAATAAAAGAGTAATTGTTCTGAAAGTAATCATGATCAAATCGGAACTCAGTTATTGAAGGAATAAGACGGATGCAAGTAAAATGAACTAGAAAAATGATCTAAATACTCTCAATTGGATAATAAAAGCCATCTAAAAAGACTACCAAATCATGTATGTCTAAATTTACAATCAATATAATCAGGGCATCCACTCTAAATGCAAATGAATCATGTATCCACATGATACCAGCCATCCAAAATTTAAATAGTGAAATACACTCCTCATATCATTTTGGGAAAGTGGCTAATGGTGTCCTCAACCAATGCATATTCATTAGTTTCAAAGCCATGAAATTCAAGCAAGTAACAAGCATTAGATTCAAATCATGAATTTCTAATAGATTGCTTTGACCCGTGTAAGAAAGAAAGAAAAAAATCTAATTGCTACAATCTGCATGAGTTCTCTATTACAAGGTATTGAACCTATGAATCTATTCACTCTTTTTATTTGTGTTCCGTGGTTAGTCGTTGAATCCAAAAAAAAAAATACAGAAAGGGAATATCCACTTCGAAGTCAAAATGAAGTATATTGTTTCTATCTCAATTGGTCCAATTTGAGCCAAGTGTCATCTAATTACTACAATCTGCAGCCAAATTCAATTGCAGAACCTATTTATTTATTTATCATTATTTCTTCTTATTCAATCCAAATTACAAACTTTCTTGAATGTTTGTCCGAAATATTAGCTCTATATGACAGATTAACATAACAAAACAAACAAAATGTCTAAAATTTAACATTTTGAGCTTGCCAGACGGCCAAAGTTAACCTCAACACTAGCAGCTAACAGCAAATTTTCAAAATAATGATCACAGAGCACTGTCAAATGAACTGTTTGATTCCAACCATACACGTTACACTGAATAATCAATGATGATGTGAAGCGGGAATCAAATATTTTTAAATAAAAAGAGATCAATTTTAGAGAGAGAAACTGAATAACTTACAGCATAAAGAAATGAGCGACAGGACCTCTGATCGTCTCCAGCAAGACTGAATCCAAAAATCCGAAATCGAAATCGACTTCAATTGCCCAGACAATCTCGGCAGCCACAGGGACACGAAATTCACGTCGGTGAGATACAGATCGTCCGACTCATCCTCTACGTCGTCGTACGAAATCCCTCGAAGTGGCTTATCAACACCGACCGAAACGGACTCAACGATTCTAGAACTGGAAATCAAGTTCTTGAAGATTGTCTTGAAAGGTGTGATGACAGATTTGGTCGCCGGTGACCTCGATTTCCTGTAGCGTTCGAAGGAGCATTGAAGGTTGACGAATCGGACCTCGCGAGAGAGGGCGTTTAGGGTTTTGGAAGCGAGTCTGCAGCGAGCGAGGTCGGCTGAATCATTGAGTCGACTCAGGATTTCGATAATTAGAGATGGAGGAAGGTCATCCATGGAGAAATGTAGAGAGAGAGAGCTTTGGCTCGGGTTCATTCCTTCTGACCAATATCATATACATGGTGTAGAATCTTCGTTCATAGGGACGATCGTCTGTCACGCGCATACGGCGCGTGTGAACTTCAATAAATTGGAAAGAGATTTTATATTTTTTTTTTTTTGGGTAAATTGTGTTCGATATTTTAATAAAAAGGAGAATTTTTGTGAAGTAAATTTTTATATTTTTTTGTTACTTATGTAATAGGGATGGCAATAGGAGCGGGTTTGGGCGAGTGTACCCCCTCCTATTTCCGAAACCGTTTAAAATTTCGCATTCATCCCTGTCCAAAACCGTAAAAAGGGAAAAACTTTTCATCCCATTCCCGTACCGGTTTAACATTTTTACCCTCGTGGGTACCCGCCTGCCCTGTTTAAAATCATAATTTATTTATTGTTGAAATAGATTTGCACTTTATTTTTCCCCTTCGTCTTTAATTCTTTACCATTGCAACTTTTATTTTAATCAAATTCATTTGTTACTTTAATATTGTTATATGGGGTACTTAATATATAGTGTTAAATATATATATATATTAATGAATAAGGGTACATATGTAATTTGCCTATCTAAACTGGGCAGGGCGACCTTCCCCCGCCCCCACACTAAACCCGCACAGGTTTTTATTACATCAAACCATCCCCACCCAAATAAGCAAAACGGTTTCCCAAAACCGCAAAAAACGAAGCGGGGCGGGTCAAATTGCCATACCTACTTATGTTTGGTTACATAAAATTAAAAATTTGAAATTGAAATTAGTGGAATAATGAAATTATTATTTTATTATTTTATTTTTTGTTGTTGTTGTTGTTGTAATTTTTAACCCAATTTTTTAATAATTCCACCAATTACCATTACAAACCTCCGAATATAACCTAATTTTACTCAAATCTTTCTAGCCAAAAAATGCAGCAGATTGGTATTCATAATTATTTTGTAGATTTGCATGTTCTTCATATCATAAAAATAATAATGTGTAATTTTTTATTTACTTTATACATTTTCATTAAAAGCATCCCAGCGCTGCCCTTCTTTTTTATTATACACTTTATTTCAAGTGTACAGCCACATCAACAATTAGTTCTACACTTATCTTGGAGACTTAAGTTCGTGTTGTGCACTAATTTTTTCATTATACACCTTATTATATTATTATTTTTTAAAAAAAAAATACTTTTTTTTAATTATTATTATTATTATTTTTTTTTCTAACAGTTTTATTCCCAACAACTATAATGCTAACAGCTATAGTTGTTTGCTATGATAAACTGCTATAGTTGTTTGCTCTGATTATATGTTTAGATAAAAGATTTAAAAAAGAAACAATATATAAAAGAAAAAGTGCATTAAATATCTTCCTACAAGTAAAATAAAACGATACAACTCAAAAAAAAAAATACATTATGTAATAAATAAAAAAATTAAATTGATAAGTCAAAAATTACAAAAAAAAATTATAAAAAATAATTAATTAAATTCTTATGTAAATTAAATAACTCTTTTTATTTATTTAAGAAAAATAACTTTTTTTAATTAATTAAATTATGAATTAACTTTACATTAATAAATTAATACAATACACGTACAATAATTATTTCACACCATCACACAATATCACTTTTTCATTTTATATCATTATCACCCACAACTCATTCCTCATATGTGGAGTGTGAAGTATATAATATGACGCGGGCCACTTGTGTATAATGTGCATATTAAAGGCTTTCATTTAGCACAATACCAGATATTATACACATTCGCCTTGCGTTGGGTTGCTCTAAGACCATTTTTGTAAGGCTTGGTTTGATTAGATGAAAAGATAATGAAAAATATAGAAAATGAACTCTTGTGTTTTTTTTTTTTTTTTTTTTAACATTTCAGGAGCCTCAAAAATTAAAAAAATTTTAATCTATTTTTCATAACCACCCAACTTTCATAAAAAAAAAAGTTCCTACAGAAATATACAAAAAATATTTTATTGAGAAAGTTTTGTTTACTTTAAAATTATGTCAATTCTTTCTCTGTGTATTGTGATTGTACATGACTTTTATAAGAACCAAAAAAAATATTTATTTGAGACATTAGTTTAGGTACATATTATGTAAAAATTAATATTTTCATAAAACCTTCAGGTTATAGAAACTATTCATGGCATTTGCTCATAAATTTCTTTGAAAATTTTCATACTAATCAAATGTATATTAAAAAATTATTAATTTAATTTACTAAAAAAAAACTTTCACTTTCAAATATTAATTTAAATATAACCAAACGGACTTTAACCAAACTGAAAAAATAATAATAATAATAATAATAATAATAATAACAATAATAATAAGTAAAATAAATCACCCTATTTATCCAAACTAACAAATCTATTTAGCATATTGCTGACTAAATCTATTAAGCCAAGTGTTAACCACAACTCACAATACTCGAGCATAGCACAAGAAATCACCTGCAGTTTTCAGTTCAACATTCAGATAAATAAATAAGCATAATAAAATTATTTAATTTGCCAATAAAAATCATTATATCACCATCATCAAGATTCAAACCAAGAGAGTGTTGTTGCATTGGCATTTTGCAGTAGATTCAAAAGCACGGACATTCTTCTACATTAAAAAATTTGACGTCATAAGCATACACAGGCAACACATTGCTATGCAATTTATTCCATTTATACCAGAACAAAGTGAAACGACGACGGGAAGTCTGAATATGTTTTACATTTAAAGGACGAAAGATCAGTAGATACGCCGACAGATTGTGAACCCATCACCCAATGGAGTAAGAGAAATTTCGATGCGAGGATCAGCTGCCAGTGCTTTGTTAACCCCGAGTGTCCACTGCTTTCCCGGTCTCATCCACTCTGGAACCGACTCCTCAGGCATCACCACTGATCCTCCCCAGAGTGTGTTATCATAGGCAACTATCCCCCCAACTTTCAACAGTTTCATCAGCCTCTCATGATAATTCAAATAATTAACCTTGTCTGCATCAATATATGCAAAGTCAAAACTTCCTTCATTCTCATGCTGCAAGAAAGCCCCACTCATAAGCAAAATGTTTAGAAGCAACAAAGTGAAGAAGCATTCTGAGTCGCCTAATTCTTACGTCTTCTGAAAGTTTATCGAGAGCTGGCAGAGCTTCAGACTGAATGAAGTCAATTTTGTGTTCAACGCCAGCTTTTTGGATGATTGGCAAGCCTATCTCATACGTATCTCGATTCAAATCTATAGCTATTATCTGATACATTGCATTAATTTGAAATCATAAATAGTTCAGTAGATGGACATAATAGACATATTATCGATGATACATGTACTCACAGACCTTGCCGTCATCAGGAATTGTAAGAGCAGTGCGGAGTAGGGAGTATCCAGTGAAAACTCCAACTTCAATTGTCTTTTTGGCATTTACTAGCTTCAAGAGCATTGCCATCAACTGACCTGCATCTGGTGCAGTACCCATTATGGCCCTGGAAAATAACAAGCTATCAATCGTCCCGGAAGAAATTGACTCATTCGCCAGCCATGCTTAGGGAAATGCTGTACACAAGCTTAACAACAAATTTTTCAACAAAGGTAATTACCGCCATAAACTACTTAAGTCACGTGTCTTTACCATCCAGATACACCATCTATTGAGATGTAGCAATTCGACACCATTTTAAAATGAATTAAATTCATCTTATCTCTAGAGAATTTGAATTTAGACTAAATATTGTAAATTTTAATTTTTATCATGTAAGTAGATAAATAACCTCATGCACAAATTTGTTATCAAGTAGTATTATTTCGTGCTTGGGCCCTGGGGATAATAGACAATGAAAGCTTTAAGAATACAATCCTGCTCTTGTGGAGAAAATTGAAGATAGAAGAAAACTTACCTAGGGTGGCTAGCAGTAACATCCCTCAGCTCCTTTAGAAGCTCTGGTTCACGGGGGTACACACTAGTCTCCAGGACATACTGTCAAAGTAGCTAAGCATAATTATAAGATTTGTCAATAAACATTAAGCAGAAAAGACTAAAAGAGAGGGTGGGAGAGAACCTGATACAACTCATCACTCTGCAATAATCCTTTCCCAGTTATCATTACGCCCTTGTTGTGCTTTCGAGGATACTAAGGTACAAAAGAGTCAAAGAAGTTATAATTTTCTCATTCTAAAGTAATGTAAAAAGGAAAACATGCTTGTGAACTAATGCTTGTCCCAACATTACGAACATTTACATAAAAAACTAAATAAAACAAATAGTTGTTCGCATATCACAACAATTGTCAATACCAAACATGAACCCCACTTCCCCATTTTGGGCCATCAAACATTTAGCCCAAAATAATAATAATAATAATAATAAAGACTATCAAATGCTGCATTTCTATTACTACACAAAACTGCAAATTTTGCTCCTACTGAACTTCTCTATCTGTATTACACCTGGCCTTTCTGACTCTCTTTAGTGCACTCAACTCACAAAGATGAATAAACTGTCCTTGTTCTACTTTCACCCTTTTATACATAAAAATACTAGGTTTTTCAAATTATGAGATTGGTTAACACTTATTCGTCGCAATTCTCTCATAACTAAAATTTCATTTCTTACCGACCTGATTAGTCACAAATTAATGCATGTCTTATTATCATCTTCACAAAATTCAACTACATCTTAATTTGATTCGAATACATTGACCATTAAAAAAAAAAAAAAAAACTAAACTGTTATCCTCCCACCTATATTCCCATGGATCATCTAAATGAACTGTAAAATGGTATCAGCCACTCCTCTTTTTTGTTTGGTTCAAAGGGCTAAAAAAGCCCAAACTACAGTACTCTACAGAATGAAGCCAAGCAACTAGGGATGTCAATTTAGCTAGCCCCACCCCGCCGTGTCCTGCCTCTATTGGAACAGGTTTCGAATCATTCTAATAGGGTTAGGGGCGGGTTTGGAAAAAGAAATAAAACCCACCAAGCCCCGATTAATAATAAATATTCTTTTATTAGCTAAAGTTTTTATTTTTCCTTCATTTTTATGATAATTTTAATTTTTAATAACATTTTTGTTATTATCATTATTAAGAATCGTCTATATTTTCACTTACTTATCGGAAAGAAAAAAAATGTATTTGTCTATATTCAAATTTTCTCACAAAATTTATCTTAAATTTATTCAAGTTATAAATTTTTTTTTTATAAAAAATACATGTATACCGGGGCATCCCGAACCTGCCCCAACTCCAATGCGGAGCAGGACAGGGCAGGTGGCTTTGTGGGACGGGTTTGGGATAGGGGTGCCTCGTCTCAAACTTGCCCGTTGACATCCCTACAAGCAACCCATTTTCCTTTCTAAAAAGGTAAATCAATATAGCAAGAGAAAGGAGAAACACAGTCAAGCCCAAGGAATACTATGCATCCCCTCATAATTGACTCAGGGGAACATGAGCTATTGTCCTTTTTTATGGGGATTGTGACTGGTCCTTAATTGGCATAACTTACCCAAAACAAGGCATCCTAATTACAGACTTTGAATCTAAAACCTTTGATCTTGGGGTAATTCCAAACATCTCTTCAAAAACCTTACTAATTCTGGGATAATTTTTATTGCAAGAAAATATGATAATGCAGATCACATGAATAGTAATAGTGTTCTTTGTATAAGGATTATGTGAACCAAGCACCACAAAATTCAATCTCAAGATTATATAGCCAAGAAATGATAGAATTGAATCATTCAACCTAAAGCCTCAAACAATCAACAAAAACACAAAAATCAAAATTAAATAGCAAAAATCCCATCGGGACCCAAAATATATAAACCATCATTGAGAGAGAGAAAGAGAGTACCCCCTTATTTATTATGGCGGGAGAAAAAAGATGGGTGGGTCAGATGACTCTGGAACTCCTCACAGCAGCTATCGGAGAAGAGTGTTTACTGGTCAACTTGTAAAGATTCCGTTGAGTTCCTGCTCGGGAACCTCCTCTGTCCTTATATGCCAAAAAAAGGCGTGATTTGGCAAAACTGAAGCGTCCACACCACACGGGCCACACCTGTGTGTGACGGAAGGGGGTTTAAGTATATATACTAATAAAATATATGTAAATAAGTTTATATACTAGTAATAAATTATCTGTAAATTAAGTTTATATACTAAATTAATATTTTATATACTAATAAAACTAAATTAATTAACCAATTTTACATATAGTTTTTTTACTCAAAGGCATTCTCGTACTTTCATTACCAAGGGGGTGTCAAAGTAATTTTGACAAAAATTTTATATGTGGATAATACAGTTAGACCTTGGGAAGGTCGAAGTAATTTACTCTTTTTTATTATTACTTTTAAATATATGATCTCATATTGATAATTTATCTATTAGGCCCTGATTAAGAAAAAAAAATAATTGAGTTGCTTAGAAAAGTCTAATCTATAAAATTAATCCGATCCAATCTAATAATTTTCAAATTTGATCGATTCAGTTTCAGATTATTCTGCAGGGATATCTAATCAGTGATTAACCACAGAAAATACATTTGGACTAAAAACTGGATAAAGTATTATGTTATATTTTTGGAAATTTAACTTTTTAAGATAATAATATTTATTATTATTTTTATTGTATTACTAGTAAATGAATTACTTATTTTTTAAAAATTTAAGAAGGTTAAAATAGTAATATTACAAAAAAATAAAGAGATGTCTTTTCAAATGAGATACTTATTTTGGGAGGAATATAATAAAAATAAAAACATGACACCTATTTTGGGTAAGAGAGAATAATATTATGTTGTTAATAGATAAATAGTTTTTATAATAGTGCCACAAACCTTGACATAAATATGACATGTTTATATTAGTGTAATCTCATAAATGAGCCATATAACTCTAACACATCTGTTTAAATTAAATGATTTATGTAACTCTTTTGTTAATATGTTTTAAAAACAACAACACAATATTCATATTGCATTTAATTGAAATATTAAAAACTGTTCATAGTAATTGAATTAAAACATGTTACAAGTTAGTCACTAATTTAGTTCCACGCCACTATTAATTAAACATATACTCGTAATTTTTTTTCCTTAAACAAGTTAAATTGGATGACATGATTATGATACAATTACAATTAAGATGAATTTAAACCTACTAAATTTATCTCATATTTAAATAATGTTGGTAGATTATATCAAATTTTGTCACCCATAATCTTAGTAGTATGCTTTCCATGTCAATCATTGAATTAGTTTTTCATTATAATAGAGTAAAATTGTAAAAGAAACTTACTAATATTTGTAATTCAATAATTAACATGATTTTTTTTACAATATTTCTACTCCGTATTTCATAAAAATAACACTCTCACAATTTTTCCTTTATATATTTTTCTTCAAAGCGATTTTCATAAGGTTTACTTTGATTACATGAAAAATAGTGGAAAGTAAAGATTTAAAAAAAAAAAAAAATTATTTATTTATAACATTTTAGGTTTTTCCTTTATAAATTTTTCGTCAAAACAATTTTCATAAGGTTTGGTTTTATTAGATGAAAAATAGTGGAAAGTAAGGAAAATGTTTTTTTTAAAAAAAAAAAAATTTAGTTACAACATTTTAGGAGTAAGAGTCTCAATTGCATAAATAGAAAATTTTTTTAGGCAAATTATTTTTCATAACCACCAAACTTTCTTATAAAATTTTTATATAAGAAATACAAGAAAATAATATATTTCTATGTGAACTTAAAATTATGAATGTGTTAGTGGAATGCGGATAACTTCTACAAGAAAAGTATTATGGTTCTTATATCTCTTTTAATGTCCTAGATTCTTTTTTTACTTTTATTTATAAATCCAAAAATGTTTATTCAATTTAGACATCTTATCCTAGTAATAAAATAGGGAAAATTTAGGAAAAAATATATTATTTTTGTAACCTTCAAACCTTTCATGGCATTTTCTCTTCTTCTTTTTTTCTTTATTATTAAATTTCCCTGCTAATAAAATACATACTAAAAAAAATTAATCTTCCTTTCATCTACTTCATTTCCACTATTAATTTAAATCTAACCAAAGGGATCCTAAACAAGCCATGCTCAAAAAAATGAAAGGGAGTATTAAGACTTAAAAGAGCAATGATACACATTGCAATACCCAACTTGTCGGTAGTGGAGGATCCACCACTATTTATGTAATTTATGTCAGACGCCCGACAGTCGAATGACAAAAAGTCTTAAATTTTTTGAGAATTAATCAAGACCAACTAATATATTAAGCAAATTGCTAACTATTAACACACATTGTTCAATTTCCACAACAAACCAAGCCAAAATAATAATAATAATAATAAACGGTCGAACAAATCAACAAATCTATTAAGCGAAGTGTAAACCACAACTCATAAAACATGGTCAGCAACCCCTTCCTTCCTCAAATTTTCCCTTGTCAAAAAAATAGTATATGAAATCAACAGCGGTTGTCAGTTGAACATTATGATAAATAAGCATAATAAAATTGCCAATAACAATCATTACATCACCACCATCAAGATTCAAACCAAGCAAGTGTGGTTGCATTGGCATTTTGCGGTAGATTTAAAAGCATGGACACACTTCTACAATGAAAAATTTGACATCATAAACCTACAGGCAACACATTGCTATGCAATTTATTCCAGCGCACACACAGAAACTATGGCAGGAAGCCCGAATAGGCTCTACATTCAAAGTACGAAAGATCAGTAGATACTCCCTAATTGGTCAATTATATTGCTAATCTGATATCATCTACTTAAAGTAGTTAATTCTTGAAACAGTGTAGTTTTGATTTGAGGGTAAAATTGTCTTTCTACACTTCCTGCAACGGCATCTGATCAAATTGGGCAATTTGCAACAATTCAATAGTTCAAGGGGTTTATTCTAGCTCAGGGGGTAACGTGCAAATGGGGCATAGTTCAGGAAGATTTTTTTGCCCTTTACTCTAATAATAATAAGAAGTAAAATTAATCACCCTATTTATCCAAACTAACAAATCTATTTAGCATATTGCTGACTAAATCTATTAAGCCAAGTGTTAACCACAAACTCACAATACTTGAGCATAGCACAAGAAATCACCTGCAGTTTTCAGTTCAACATTCAGATAAATAAATAAGCATAATAAAATTATTTAATTTGCCAATAAAAATCATTATATCACCATCATCAAGATTCAAACCAAGCAAGTGTGGTTGCATTGGCATTTTGCAGTAGATTCAAAAGCACGGACATTCTTCTAGATTAAAAAATTTGACGTCATAAGCATACACAGGCAACACATTGCTATGCAATTTATTCCATTTATACCAGAACAAAGTGAAACGACGACAGGAAGTCTGAATATGTTTTACATTTAAAGGACGAAAGATCAGTAGATACGCCGACAGATTGTGAACCCATCACCCAATGGAGTAAGAGAAATTTCGATGCGAGGATCAGCTGCCAGTGCTTTGTTAACCTCGAGTGTCCACTGCTTTACCGGTCTCATCTGCTCTGGAACCGACTCCTCAGGCATCACCACTCTTCCTTGACAGAGTGTGTTATCATAGGCAACTATCCCCCCAACTTTCAACAGTTTCATCAGCCTCTCATGATAATTCAAATAATTAACCTTGTCCGCATCAATATATGCAAAGTCAAAACTTCCTTCATTCTCATGCTGCAAGAAAGCCCCACTCATAAGCAAAATGTTTAGAAGCAACAAAGTGAAGAAGCATTCTGAGTCGCCTAATTCTTACGTCTTCTGAAAGTTTATCGAGAGCTGGCAGAGCTTCAGACTGAATGAAGTCAATTTTGTGTTCAACGCCAGCTTTTTGGATGATTGGCAAGCCTATCTCATACGTATCTCGATTCAAATCTATAGCTATTATCTGATACATTGCATTAATTTGAAATCATAAATAGTTCAGTAGATGGACATAATAGACATATTATCGATGATACATGTACTCACAGACCTTGCCGTCATCAGGAATTGTAAGAGCAGTGCGGAGTAGGGAGTATCCAGTGAAAACTCCAACTTCAATTGTCTTTTTGGCATTTACTAGCTTCAAGAGCATTGCCATCAACTGACCTGCATCTGGTGCAGTACCCATTATGGCCCTGGAAAATAACAAGCTATCAATCGTCCCGGAAGAAATTGACTCATTCGCCAGCCATGCTTAGGGAAATGCTGTACACAAGCTTAACAACAAATTTTTCAACAAAGGTAATTACCGCCATAAGCTACTTAAGCCACGTCTTTACCATCCAGATACACCATGTATTGAGATATACCAATTCGACACCATTTTAAAATGAAGTAAATTCATCTTATCTCCAGAGATTTAAATTTAGACTAAATATTGTACATTTTAATTTTTTATCAAGTTGATCCAGAATGCAAGTAGATAAATTACCTCATACACAAATATGTTATCAATTAGTATTATTTTGCTGCTTGGGCCCTGGGGATAATAGACAATGAAAGCTTTAAGAATAAAATCCCGCTCTTGTGGAGAAAATTGAAGATAGAAGAAAACTTACCTAGGGTGGCTAGCAGTAACATCCCTCAGCTCCTTTAGAAGCTCTGGTTCACGGGGGTACACACTAGTCTCCAGGACATACTGTCAAAGTAGCTAAGCATAATTATAAGATTTTTCAAGAAACGTTAAGCAAAAAAGACTAAGTAAGAGGGTGGGAGAGAACCTGATACAACTCATCACTCTGCAATAATCCCTTCCCAGTTAACATTAGGCCCTTGTTGTGCTTTTGAGGATACTAAGGTACAAAAGAGTCAAAGAAGTTATAATTTTCTCATTCTAAAGTAATGGAAAAAGGAAAATGATGCTTGTCCAAACATTACGAACATTTACATAAAAAATTAAACAAAACAAACAGTTGTTCACTTATCACAACAATTGTCAATACCAAACATGAACCCCACTTCCTCATTTCAGGCCATCAAACATTTATCCCAAAATAATAATAATAATTAAGAATATCAAATGCTGCATTTCTATTACTACACAAAACTGCAAATTTTGCTCCTACTGAACTTCTCTATCTGTATTACACCTGGGCTTTCTGACTCTCTTTAGTGCACTCAACTCACGACAATGAATAAACAGTCCTTGTTCTACTTTCACCCTTTTATACATACAAAGACTAGGTTTTTCAAATTATGAGATTGGTCAACACTTATTCGTTGCAATTCTCTCATAACTAATATTTCATTTCTTACCGACCTGATTAGTCACAAATTAATGCATGTCATTATCATCTTCACATAATTCAACTACATCTTAATTTGATTCGAATACATTGACCATAATAAATAAGAAAAATAAAATCTATTATCCTCCCACCTCTATTCCCATGGATCATCTAAATGAACTATAAAATGGTATCAGCCACTTTTTTGTTTGGTTCAAAGGGCTAAAAAAGTCCAAACTACAGTACTCTAAAGAATGAAGCCAAGCAACTAGGGATGTCAATTTAGCCAAGCCCGCCCCGACTTGGCTCTATTGGAACGGGTTTGGAATCATTCTAATAGGGTTAGGGGCGGGTTTGGGAAAAATAAATAAAACCCACCAAGCCCCGATTAATAATAAATATTATTTTATTAGCTAAAAGTTTTTATTTTTCCGATAATTTTAAATTTTAATACAGTAACATTTTTGTTATTATCATTATTAAGAATTGTCTATATTTTCACTCACTTATCGGAAAAATAAAAATGTATTCGTCTATATTCAAATTTTCTAACAAAATTTATCTTAAATTTATTCCAGTTATAAATTTTTTTTTATAAAAACGTATATGTATACCGGGGGCATCCCGAACCTGCCCCGACTAGGGACGCCTTGTCTCGATCTCGCCCGTTGACATCCCTACAAGCAACCCATTTTTCTTTCTAACAAGGTAAATCAATAATTGACTCAGGGGACCATGTGCTATTGTCCTTTTTTATGGGGATTGTGACTGGGTCCTTAATCGGCATAACTTACCCAAAACAAGGCATCCTAATTACAGACTTTTAAGGAATATAAAACCTTTGATTTGGGGTAAATCCAAACATCTCTTCAAAAACCTTACCAATTCTGGGATAATTTTTATTGCAAGAAAATATAATAATGCAGATCATTTGAATAGTAATAGTGAATCAAGCACCAGAAAATTCAATCCCAAGATTATATAGCCAAGAAATGATAGAATTGATTCATTCAACCTAAAGCCTCAAACAAAAAAAAAAAAAAATCAAAATTAAATAGCAAAAATCCCATCCGGACCCAAAATATATAATCCATCATTCAGAGAGAGTTAGAGAAAGAGAGTACCCCTTATTTATTATGGCGGGAGAAAAAAATGACTCTGGAACTCCTCACAGCAGCTGCTCAACTTGTAAAGATTCCGTTGAGTTCCTGCTCGGGAACCTCCTGTGTCCTTTATATGCCTAAAATACAGGCGTGATTTACTGAAGCGCCCACACCTGTGTGTAACGGAAGGGGGTTTAAGTATATACTAATAAATTATATGTAAATAAGTTTATATACTAAATTAATATTTTATATACTAATAAAACTAAATTAATTAACAAACTTCGCATATAATTTTTTTTACTCAAGGGCATTCTTGTACTTTCATTACCAAAAGTTGTCAAGGGTATTTTTGACAAAAGCTTCATCTGTGGGTAATATAGGTAGACCTCCGGAAGGTCAGAGTAATTTACCTTTTTTTATTATTACTTTTAAATAGATGAACTCATATTGATAATTCATTTATCAGGCCGTGATCGAAAAAAAAAATTTATTGAGTTATTTAGAAAAGTCTAATCTATAAAATTAATCGGATCTAATTTAATAATTTTCAAATTTGATCCATTTAGTTTCAGATTATTCTGCAGGATAACTAATGAGTCATAAAACAGGATAAAGAATTATATTTGGAGACAAAATAAGTGTTATTTTTTGGAAATATAACTTTTTAAGGTAATGATATTTATTATTATTTTCATTATATTAAATAGTAAATGACTTAATTTTGATAGGTTCAATGCAAGAAGGTTAAAATAGTAATATTATAAAAAATGACACATTACCTTTTTAGATGAGACACTTATTTTGGAGTGAATAAAAATAAAAATGTGAATACTTATTTTAAGGCAAAGAGAATAGTATTATGTTGTTGATAGGTAAATGATTTTATAACAGTGTCACAAACCTATGACATGTAATTTGTTTAATAAATGAGTCATGTAACCCACAACACACTTGTTTAAATTAAATGAATTATGTAACTCTTTTGTTAATATGTTTTAAAAACAACATACAATATTCATATTGCATTTAATTGAAATATTAAAAACTGATCATAGTGATTGAATTAAAACATGTTACAAGTTAGGCACAAATTTAGTTCCGGGCCACTATTAATTAAACATATAATTTTTTTTTCATTAAACAAGTTAAATTGGATGACATGGTTACGACACGATTACAATTAATATGAATTTAAATCTACTAATTTTGTTTCACATTTAAATAATGTTAGTAGATTGTATCAAATTTTGTCACCCATAATTTTAGTAGAACGCGTTCCATGTCAATCATTTGAATTAGTTTTTCATTAGAATAGAGTAAAATGTAGAAGAAACTTACTAATATTTATAATTAAATGATTAACATGATTTTTTTTCCAATATTTCTATTTCATAAAAACAACAGTTACAAATTTTCCTTTATATATTTTTCTTCAAGCAATTTTCATAAGATTTACTTTGATTAGATGAAAAATAGTGGAAAGTAAAGATATTTTATTTTAAAAAATTATTTATTTATTTATAACATTTTAGGTTTTTCCTTTATAAATTTTTCATCAAAACAATTTTCGTAAGGTTTGGTTTTATTAGATGAAAAATAGTGGAAAGTAAGGAAAATGTTTTTTTATTTTATTTTTTTTACAACATTTTAGGAGTAAGAGTCTCAATTGCATCAATAGAAAAAAATTTAAGGCAAATTATTTTTCATAACCGCCAAACTTTCTTATAAAATTTTTATATAAGAAATACAATAAAATAATATATTCTATGTGAACTTAAAATTATGTCTTTCTTTTTTTCCTAAAATGAAATGTGTTTGTGGAATCTGGATAACTTCTACAATAAAAGTACAATGGTTCTTATCTCTTTTAATGTCCTAGATTCTTTTGCAACTTTTATTTAAAAATCCAAAAAGTTTATTCAATTTAGACATGTTATCCTAGTAATAAAATAGGGAAAATTTAGGCAAAAATATATATATTTTTTTGTAACCTTCAAACCTTTCATGGCATTTTCTCTTCTTTTTTTTCTTTAATATTAAATTTCCCTGCTAATAAAATACATACTAAGAAAATTAATCTTCCTTTCACCTACTTCGTTTCCACTATTAATTTAAATCTAACCAAAGGGATCCTAAACAAGCCATGCTTAAAAAAATGAAAGGGAGTATTAAGATTTAAAAGAGCAATGACACACATTGCAATACCCGACTTGTCGGTAGTAGAGGATCCACCACTTATGTCAGACGCCCGACAGTCAGTGACATAAAGCCTTAAATTTTTTGAGAATTAATCAAGACCAACTAATATATTAAGCAAATTGCTAACTAGTAACACACATTGTTCAATTTCCACTATTGACTTTTATCTAAACCGATCCTAAACAACAAACCAAGCCAAAAATAATAATAATAATAATAATAAACTATTAACTTTTATCTAAACCGATCCTAAACAACAAACCAAGCCAAAATAATAATAATAATTATAAACGGTCGAACAAATCACCAAATCTATTAAGCAAAGTGTAAACCACAACTCATAATACATGGTCAGCAAACCCCTTCCTTCCCTCTAATTTTCCCTTATCAAAAACATAATATATGAAATCAACTGCAGTTGTCAGTTGAACATTATGATAAATAAGCATAATAAAATTATTTAAATTGCCAATAACAATCATTACATCATCACCATTAAGATTCAAACCAAGTAAGTGTGGTTGCATTGGCATTTTACAGTAGATTTAAAAACATGAACACACTTCTACAATGAAAAATTTGACATCATAAACATTCAGGCAACACATTGCTATGCAATTTATTCCAGCACACACGAGAAACTATGGCAGGAAGCCCGAATAGGCTTTACATTCAAAGTACGAAAGATCAGTAGATACGCCGACAGATAGTGAATCCATCACCCAATGGAGCAAGACAAATTTCAATGCGAGGATCAGCTGCCAGTGCTTTGTTAAGCTCGCGTGCCCACTGCCTTTTAAATCTCATCCACTCTGGAACCTCCTCCTCTGGCATCGCCACAGTTCCTGCCCAGAGAGTGTTGTCATAGGCAACTATCCCCCCAACTTTCAACAGCTTCAGCAGCCGCTCGTGATAATTCAAATAATTAGGCTTGTCCGCATCAACAAATGCAAAGTCAAAACTTCCTTCATTCTCATGCTGCAAGAGAGCAAGCAAAATGTTTAGGTAGAAAGAATATAGGGCTTGGATTGAGTCAAGCATCAAAGTGGAGCAACATTTTGAGTTGGCTAATGCTTACATCTTCACAGAGTTTATCAAGAGCTGGCAGAGCCTCAGACTGAATGAAGTCAATTTTATGTTCAACGCCAGCTTTTTGAATAACTGGCAACCCTATCTTATACGAATCCCGATTCAAATCTATAGCTATAATCTGATACATTGCATTATTTGAAATCATAAATAGTTCAGTAGATGGACATAATAGACTTATTGATGATACATATACTCACAGACCTTGCCATCATCAGGAATTGTAAGAGCAGTGCGGAGTAGGGAGTATCCAGTGAAAACTCCAACTTCAATTGTCTTTTTGGCATTTACTAGGTTCAAGAGCATGGCCATCAACTGACCTGCATCTGGTGCAGTACCCATTATGGCCCTGGAAAATAACAAGCTATCAATCGTCCCGGAAGAAAGTGACTCATTCGCCAGCCATGCTTAGAGGGAAATGCTATAAGCAAGCTTAATAAATCTTTACAAAGGCGATTACTACCATAAACTACTTAAGCCACATGTCTTTACCATCCAGATACACCATAAATTGAGATTCTAGTTCGACACCATTTTAAATTTGAATTTAGACTAAATATTGTTCATGATACTAAAGGAGTCCATTTATTTTCTTAATACTCGTACGGTTACATTTATATGTTTATCACACATTTCTAACTGATCGAAGTTGTTCCAGATTGCAAGTAGATAACTAAGCTCATATACAAATTTGTTATGAATTAGTATTACTTTGCTGCTTGGGAGATAAGAGACAACAAAGCTCTAAGAATACAATCCCGCTCTTGTGGAGAAAAATGAAGAAAGAAGAAAACTTACCTAGGGTGGCTAGCAGTAACATCCCTCAGCTCCTTGAGAGGCTCTGGTTCACGGGGGTAAACAGTAGTCTCCAAGATATACTGTCAAAGTAGCTAAGCATAATTTTAAGATTTTCCGAGCAACATTAAGCAGAAAAAACTAAAATAGAGGGTGGGAGGGAACCTGATACAGCTCTTCACTCTTCAATAATCCCTTCGCAGTGTCCATTACGCCCTTTGTTGTGCTTTTGAGGATACTAAGGTACAAAACAGTCAAAGAAGCTAAAATTTTTTCATTCTTAAGTAATGACAAAAGGAAAACATGATAGTGAACTGAAGCATGTGCTCACATTATAAACATTTACATAAAAAACTAAATAAAAAAAATATTTGTTCGCTTATCACAACAATTTTCAATAAAATATGAACCCTAAATCCTGATTTCTCATTTCAGCCATCAAACATTTTCGCTTTCCCCCACCCCCAAATCCAACCCCAAAAATGAATCAAAGACTATAAATGCTGCAAAATTGCTCTTACCAAACGTCTCTATCCATATAATACTTTCTCACCCTCTGCAGTGCATTCAACTATGAAGTAACTGTCCTTGTTCTACTTCCACCTTTATACATACAAAGTTTAGGTTTTTCAAATTATGAGATTGTTTCACACTTATTCGTCACAATTCTCTCATAACTAATATCTCATTTCTTACTAACCTGATTAGTCACAAATTAATACATGTCCTATTATGATCTTCACAGAATTCAACTACATGTTAATTGGATTAGAACGCCATGACCATACGGGGAAAAAATGTATATATTTTTTGTTTGGTTGAAAGGGTTAAAAGAGCCCAAACTACAGTCTATAGAATGTACCCAAGCAACCTCAGTACAATGATGGCGGATTCAGCATTTTTGAATAGTGTTGCTAACTTTGGATTGGACTAATTTGAGGTGGGCTACCAATGGTTGATATTTACACCCACATACTTTTTTAGAGGCTTCAATCCTTAACCTTCTTTTGAGAAACAAGGGACCTAATACCACTAGACCACTGATCCATTGGTACCTACGTACATTCTTCTAATTACAGAGTCTTTTAAGGAATATAAAACCTTTGATCTTGGGGTAGATCCAAACTTTTCTTCAAAACCTTTGCTAATTATGGGGTAATTTTTATTCCAAGAATATATGATATCTGCAGATTTCATGAATGGCAATAGTATTCTCTGTATAAGCATTATGTTAACCAAGCACCAGAAAATTCATTCCGAAGATTATACACCTAAGAAATGATCAAATTGATTCATTCAACCTAAAACCTTAAAAAAAAAAATAAACTCTAAAATTGATGATTAAGATAAAAATGAAGCAACAAAAATTACAATGGAACCCAAAATATTGAATTCATCAAAAGTATAACGAGAGGGAGAGAGAGATAGAGAGAGAGAGAGAGAGAGTACCGAGTTCTTGCTTTCTTGCTTGTTATGGCGTAAGTAAAAAGTTGGGACTGTACTCTCGACGAGCACCACACAGTTATAGTGGAAGAGAGTGAGGTGGGGTGAATTTGTATACCTTCCATTCAGCCAAAAATGTGTTCAGAAATTTGGTACGCTCCAAGTACTACACTACTCCCCAGTCGAGACCACCAAATTCAACCTCATGATTTTTGTAAATATTGGCAAAAGTGAGACACACACGTGATTATACCACAAAATCGATTAAAGTCCAATCTAAACCTACTTAAATTAATTACTATAGTATAAAATAAAAAATAAATGGGATACTAGTACTAATTAGCCTTCTTGTCTGATGCAGCCACGTGACTGAGCATTCAGTCTCGAATATGCTCACAGCTTTTTTTTCTTTCACACTAAGGAAAATACGATAGTGTGTGTATAAATAAATAAAAAGAGAATGCCACTATTCTTCTTTTATAAAAATGATTACACAGAAATGTAAAAGAATATGAGAACATGGTAGGTGGGTGGTGTTGCGCTATATAGCCACACTCCACCGACAAAACGACTCCATCATTATTAATACAAGTTGGGTTTTTATATATATCTATATAAGGGTTTGCCAACGTCCCACCTACTTTTTTTTTTATTAGGAAGGTCCCACCTACTTTTTGATGGATATGGAGAAGATAGAGAGGTTCAAGGCCTTGTCAAGACTTTTTGATTAATCAAGAATGCTTGGTGTTGGATGTCAGAATTTTCATTGTCAGTTAAAAGGGCATTTAAAGCCTAAACAGCTGCATCTCTTGCATTAATTTCTCTGAGTAATGATTGTCACATCGTGAATGGGGAAGGAAGAGGCTGTAGTGCCGAGACACCATTATTTTTAATTTCTAATTTTTCAAGAATGTTAGGTGATGGTGATTAAAGGGTAGAAAGAGGGTGTAAGGGTCCAGCACAATTTTTCAATCACAAAAAGTAATACAACCATTCAATAGGGTTCATGATTTTTGTCATTTTTCATTTTAAAATTGTAACACATTTAAATATATACCTAGATACATGAAATGGGCATTATTTTAGTCCTTTGCATTGAACAATGAAAATCACAGTAAAGTTGCATTTCAAAAGAGGAAAATTATACGGGTGGAAAAGTTACATCAATCCGTTAGTTTGGAATTCATTATTTGATTGATTTCATCCTTTTGAAATGTTTGGAATGTTTGGAATCCACTATTAGGTGTTAGTAGTTGAAACGTTTTCATGATGTATATCATTTTTTATCCTAAAATTATAGCACATTTAAATATATACATAGATACAGGAAATGGGCATTATTTTAGTCTTTCACACTGAATAATGAAAATCACAGTAATGATGCATTTGTGTTGGTTCAAATGAGGAAAATTGTACGGTGAGCAAAATTTTCTCCAATGGAAAAACTAGATCAACGCGTTAGCTTGGAGTTCACTATTTGATTGATTTCATCCTTTTTCAATACATCATAAAGTACAAGGATTTTGATTTGAGCATCACGTGTTAGGGACAAAATTTTCAGCACATGAGGTCAAAAGCTCATGTAAAGTATTACCCCTTTCCTTCACAACTCTTTTGGTAAGCATTGTGTCAAATTATATTTGTAAACTGTAAAGCATTACATGGATGCCATAACACATTCTCTTATCACTTAATAAACACACAGTTAAACACAAATTCAAATGATTACACACACTATCAGGCCCAAGTCTAGCCGAGCCTGCGAGTACATAATTTTTTTGAAAGATTAAGCAAATGCACACAAGGCCACTATATTTTGTCCCTATCGTACCCCTGCCCAAGGAATAAACCAACCCTGCAATCCCTTTTCCAAGCAGCATTTTTAAGTTTTTGACATTGACAAAACATAATTTTATCTAAAAAACTCCTAATGGAGGTTGAGGTTTTATTCTTCACACACACACACACACACACACACACACTCAGGAACAAGTGGAAATGAGTTTAGCAGAGACGCCTGCAGATGGTGATCCCATCGCCCAATGGAGCCTGCGCTATTTGAACGCGAAGATCAGCTGCCAATGCTTTGTTGAACTCAACCGCGAGGTGCCAGTCCGGTTTCCTGGCCTCTGGAGCCGACGATGGGTCAGGCATAGCCACTGTACCTCCCCAGAGAGTGTTGTCATAGATCACTATCCCCCCTATCTTCAACAATTTCATTAGCCTCTCATGGTAATGCAGGATATTTTCCCTGTCTGCGTCCACAAAAGCAAAGTCGAAACCCCCTTCATTCTCTTTCTGTCACAAAAACCCAGCATAATGTCAATAATATTCCAACTCAACAACCCTTAATAACCTTCAACATTACTCTCCACAATACACACACACACACTTACATCTTCTAAAAGTTTATCAAGAACCGGAAGAGCTTGGGACTGAATGAAGTCAATTTTGTGTTCAACACCAGCTTTTTGAATATATGGCAACCCAATCTCATATGTTTTCCTATTTATATCCAAGGCTAAAACCTGCAGTATTGTATAAAGTCATAAATATATAGTTGAGTGGACTGACTATATATATGTGAGTATTTAAGATTGATTGGTGATAAAATGAAGCAAACCTTTCCATCTTCAGGAATTGAAAGAGCAGTCAGGAGAAGAGAGTATCCAGTGTAAACTCCAATTTCAATCGTCTTTTTCGCATTCAGTGTCTTCAAGATCAAGGCCATAAACTGACCTGCATCCGGTGCAGTCATCAAGAAGTTCCTGGACAATAACATGCATGGTGAGTTATCTTCTTTATGCCAGGCAACAGGAAATAAACCACGCTTCAATTTAGTTTAGTGCATTAGGAAAGGTGAGAATCATCACTACATCGGATGGGATGAGGTCAATTCTGCAGATAGGATTAACGCGGTGATCTTCACCATCTTTGTGCACTGGACCGTCCACAAGAGAGTATCCAAATTTGTGATTGAGAGCCGTTGCATTTGACAAGAGATCCAAAATGCAATTATTAAATTTTGTTTTCCAAAGCACTCAACTTGAAACCATTGCAGAGAGCTTATTTCGGTTACGAGCTTCATTCTTATGCCTTTGTAACAGTACGGACTCAGTCCTAGTTGTAACTATTGGGCTAATGGCCCTTTCTTCAGCCCAAGCTGAGGCCCACTCTACTATATTTTATTTTTATAAATTTGCTTGAAATTCCCCCAAAAAAAAAAAAAAAAAATTGAAACCTATTTATTATTATTATTATTATTACAATATTGTCCAATTTTTTTTGTCAAAATCCTTGTAAAGCCCCCAATAAATTTTTGACAAAACCTTAATACATTTGACCTCCCAAAATCACCACAATATTGACTTATCTATCTTTGAGGCTCTCGTCAAACCCATAGCTCTCTTTTTATCTCTCTAATTTTATTTTATTTTTTTTATTTTTTTTATTATTATTATTTTTTATCCCGGCAATAAAAACAACTTTACAACATCTACAAAAGCTGCCAAAACAACATGTCCACCCCATCGAGCCAAAAAACCAGCCAAGCAGGAGTAGATCTGGCAAAATAACAACAAAACGTCGTGAAACTACCCACCGAACAACTAATTACAACACGCCGAATTTATTATGCTGTGGGTGGCAAGTTTAGAGAATGATGAAGAGTTTTCTCTTTCTTCCTTTTCTTGTTTTTCTCTCTCTTATCTTTTTTTATAGTTTTGCATAGCTTTAAATGTTTATAGTTTTGTATGAAAAAAAATCTACTAAGTTAAAAAGAGTAATGTTATCAATAGAGCTCACTCATAATATAATAAACATAAGTTTTTTGTATTTAAGCACTAAATTAAAAATATTTCTTGAGATCTATAAAAAAGCAAATGAATCATTTAATAAATATTTCAATCCATGATTAAATATTTAACCATTGAATTTTTGGCTCTTGCTATGAGATCGAGTGCTCTCTTAATAGCATTTCTCTACGTTAAAATTGTTTTACTTACTACGATAGTTTGGGCTGCATGCAACTCGGGCGTTTTGGAGGTGTACTTGACCTTCAATCGTAACTACTTAATTAACCAGAGCCCAACACATCCTTCTATTTTAAAACTCGTATTCCGAACTCAGGCTTAAATTTCAAGATAGAAAGCCGGGATTATTCAAATTACCCATATGAATCATATGATCAATCTACACTAAAAATTTAATGCAATCTTAAGTTAGTCTCAAATTAAATTACTCCTAAGCTCAAAAGGTTTTAAAAACTTATTGCAATTTTTTTAAAAATTACAAACAACTGTTTAGAAATTAAGATTTAAGTAAAAGAAGTTAAAAAGAAAAGCTTTTCAGCTTATCATAATTTGAATATTATATATAAAACTAGAATTAGAGTTCGGGTTACTGGCACCTCAACCCAAACCTAACGAATCGGATTCGGATCAGATCAATTAAATTCATATCTGATTTATTAAACTACCGGATTATCGTATTAAATGTCCCTATGCATATCATATTTAGCTTGGATTAGGATTGGATGGAATTCAGATTAGGATTAAAATCAGTGTATTGGATGGAATTCAGATTAGGATTAAAATCAGTGTACTATTTTGACAATCAGATAGGCGCTATGACAATCAACATAGAAATATTTCCAATCCATGTGTTTTCCAAAACACCTAGTTGATCTGACAGTAAATGAAAAAATAAAATAAAATAAAATAAATAAATAAAAGATGAGTGATCTACAGAGGTTGATGAGAAAATTGAGAGCAAAGACAAAGAAGAATTTTACAGCGGCTGTCGCGCCGTAACTTCCCGTAGCTCCTTGAGAGGCTCTGCTTCTCTTGGGAACACACTGCCCTCCAGTATATACTGTCACAAATTATTACAAGATCAAATCAATATCATCTAATTAACTAAGGCCTCATACAGTGTAAAATCAAATAAAATATGCAACATAATTAAGACACTTTTTTCTATTTACCTTTTCTTTTTGGCGGTAGGTAAGAATTTCTATGAAAAAGCCTAAGCTATATACTTGCGTCAAGGTGCATATGATATCAATATACATGTAATGATGTAAATCAAGAAAACTATATATATATATATAACAATAGAAACAGTAAAAAATGTACAGGATGTGATCAGGAGATAAAGAGAGAGAGTGCCTTGTATAACTCATCAGACTGTAAGAGCCCCATTTTAGCTCTTTTGTCGGTCTGCCCAATGTGTTCCATTGCTTTAGAGAGCAACCACTTTAAGCAACTGATTGATTTAGTTCAGTTCATTCAAGAAGAAACAGAGAGGACTGCAGATATAGCCTGCCAATTCCATGAATCTAATGCTTATAATAGTATATAATAATACTCTGAATCTAAAGCTTGTAATAGTATAATAATATTACGAACCTAAAGCTTATGAAGTTGACTGTTGGGACAATAGTTGGATTGGTAGAGAGGCCGGCTCTGTCTAGGTAGCATTTTGCAAGGTTTCAAGCAATTATTTTAAGACTTGATCCGAGAATGTTATAAGCTAATTAGTTGATTCAGAGCTGACAGTTAGGTGGAGATTTATTTCTTGAGTGGCTGTTTCAATCTAATTTCTCAATGGCTTAATGAAAATTTCTACAGTCCATCATAATTACCTAATTTCGTAAGCACGAAAATTCGGATAAACAAACATGCGAAATTGAAATCTTGCTTCGAGTAAAGGTTAGTTTTGATGTAATTTTGTTTTTAGATAAATTACATTAACTTTATTTTTACCGGCCCTTCAAGATTTGGCTCGCTCATCGACACTTCTAACATTTTTGTTTTCGAAAGGTTTGCTAATCAAATTTTATACCATGTTAAATGTTCTATTTTATAAAATGTAATATAATATATTATAATAATATAAGGATATTTTTGACCTTTCACATTCAAAGTAGTAAAACTCAACCACGAGACATAGGTTGATGCTAGTGGCGTGTAGTAAAAAACACATAATCGTGATAGAAAAAAGATATTTAAGTCAGTGAAATAAACTAACCTCTCAAATTAAATTAAATACATCTATCACATGCATTAATGTCTTTTAATTGGTTTGAAAACATCTACCCTATTAAGTCCACTGTATAATTGTTCATCGTAAAAACACAATGTGTAATCGGATCTGACTAGGGGACAAATAACATTTTAGCGTGGCACGGAGTTAAGAATTAAATTTGACTTTGATACTAATCATAACATACGAATATTTTACAATTTAATTTAAAAACTTAAGTTGTTATGTATGACAAACACTCAATTCATATATACATATCCATTTTTTTTTATCAGTCCCCCACATTGTCATCCAAGTGGTCGGCACTTCTGACATTGCATCAGGCAACCAATTGATGCGCCTGCAAATCATGGTCCATCACCCCAATAATGCAAGAGAGTTTGCAGGTAAAAGATTAAATGAACTCAGACTATGTTTAGCAGTATGAAATTGAAATTAAAGAAAATTTTAAATTGATTTTTTTAATTATTTTTCTTTAATTTCACCTATTCCAATCTCATATCTGCAAAACATAGTCTGCCTCAACTTTTTCTTGGCCTCTTGCACAGACCCTTCAGGCCACCCCCACAGTCTATTGTCATAGATAATTATTGCACCAATCTTACAAAGTTTCACGAGCCCCTCTCATGGTAATTCCAGTAATTATGGTTATCTGCATCCACAAATACAAAGTCAAAAATAATTCACCGGAGAAAATGCGATCTATCTTAAATTATTGTATTATAAAAATAATTCCAAGTTGGTGACCAATGACGCAGTTAATGATTTGACAATATTTTGCGCACTGTGAAAAAAAAAAATTCCTTCACGGTAAAGAGAAAAAAATAGAAAAGGTAAATTCTCATTGAATGTATGAAGATAATATCATTATAGAATTCAAATCCCAACATAATTCAAATATACGAATTCAATTTCTGCATCTTACTCTGAACCTTAATTTATTTATTACAAAGTACTACATATTATTATGCAGCATTTAGATCTATATTTAAGTGTGCGTGTGTATTTTAAAATTTGTTAGAGATACATGCCATTTTTCATAATTAAGTGTGTTCCATTGCTCTCTGATGTGCAATAATTCTGACAGGTGCGTAAAAGAGCCAACATATGCAGCTATTTCAAAACAACTTATCAGTAATACGTTTGATTTTGCAATTTCAAGCATGATTTAGAAGACACATTTACTCATACTATCATTATTATTGACTACAGGGTTTCAACCAAGGGTATTTAGGTAATTTTTTAAAAATCAAATCATTAGTTTAATTTTGTGAATTACTTTTCTTTAATTTTACCAATTCCAATTCTCATACTCCAATTCCAAACAGCCAAACATACCCTAAAATCACAAAGACAGCACTTTCCTTCGGAGTCATCCTCCTCAACCCATCCTTTTTTTTTTTTTTTTTTTTTTTCCAGAAATGGCAAGAAAGGAGGAGGAATAAGAGAGGAAGATGCAGGTGTAGAAGAAGCCCAGCCCCATCTGGTGAAGGAAAGATAGTGAGCAGTAACACAATTCCGCTGAAGAAGTTTTATTGGTTTTTGTCAGCGGCTTCGTGCCGCACTGGAGTTTTTCCTTAACGATATTAAATTAAATTAAACACAACTTAAAAGACACAAAATACAATGTTATACATAACCATGGTAGATACACAAGAAGTAGTCTAGGAGTCCCAGTCAATTTTCAAAACAACTGGACTTTCGGCTGGGCTACATGTTCACCAACGTGGTGTGGTGTGGTGTTGACAATGGCTGCCACTTCTGAGATTGGCATCAAGCTATGCGCCTGCAAATCATGACACCATCACCCAAAGGAGCAAGAGAGACTTCAACGCGAGGGTCTGCAGTTATGGATTGATTGAACTTGATCGTACTCAACCTTAACTTTCTCTTGGCCTCCGGTACAGACTCTTCAGCCCAAGCAACCATTCCACCCCACAAAGTATTGTCGTAGATGATTATTGCACCAATCTTGCAGAGTTTCATCAGCCTCTAGTGGTAATTCCAGTAATTATCCTTATCGGCATCCACAAATGCAAAGTCAAAGCTCCCTTCGTTCTCTTGCTACAAAAAATTAATTAAACAATAAGAATTTGAATCCTGGCAAGTACATTGTTCCTCATCGGAGAGGATAGAGATCATTTCCAAGGTGAAGTAGGGTCCCGGACCAAAATGGAGGGGGTAGGCCCCCCTGAATTTATTTTTTTATTACTAATATACCATACTAATTTGCTCTTTTTCAGTTATATACCCCTAAAATATTACTATTGACCCCCTGAAATTACTAAAAGATTTCATTATTGGAACCCCCAAATTTCTGGGTCCATCCCTGCTTATGTCAGTAATCTGCACCTTTTTCCCTATGCACAACTTCCTAATAGGATCCTAATTCAATAGTCTAACCTCTACCATGAAAGTGAAGTGGATCCTCTCCGTTTGTGGGGACCACACCTTTCCCCTATCACAATGAGCTGGGGTCCTCTCTGTCTGTTGGGGACCACATCTCGTGTGTAATTTCGACTATGCACAATTTGGTGATAGGATCCTAATTCCATAGTCTAATCTCTACCATCAAAGCGAAGCTTAGAAGATTTAATACTTATATTTTCTAAGAGTTTATCAAGATATGGTAGAGCTTTAGACTCGATGAAGTAGATTTTGTGCTCAACACCAGCCTCTTGAATAGTCGGCAACCCTATCTCATATGATTTTCGGTTCATGTCTATAGCTATAATAAAAAAATGCATGTCGAAACGATGAATGATGCATAAGACAGACAGACACACACACACACACATACACACATATATATATATATATGAATGTACGTATTAGTCAACAGATTAGAGATGGATGTTTGGCAGTGAGAACCTTGCCATCATCAGGAATGTTCAGTGCAGTAGTGAGAAGTGAGTATCCAGTAAAAACACCAATTTCAATGGTCTTTTTGGCATTCACCAACTTCAAAAGCATGGCCATAAACTGAGCTGCATCTGGTGAAGTACCAAAGAAGGCCCTGAACAATATTTAAACGAAGGTAAAGTTATTAAACCAGATGCAAAAATTTGCATACATACATATATATATATATATATATATATATATATAGTCCAGTCTTCACAATTCATGTATATATGACGCCAAATGACCGGGATTGTGGTTTCTGCATCTATTTTCAATCATCATTTGAACCTTAATTTATTATAAAGCACATATTATCTTCATCTCAAGTGAAATGCGGCATTTAGATTTATATTTGCGTGTGTTGTGTAAAATTTGTTAAGCAATAACCAGATGCAAAAATTTGAACCTTAATATATTATAAAGCACATATTATTCATTTCATGTGAAATGCGTGCAGCAGTTAGATTTATACTTGTGTGTGTAAAACTTGTTAAGCAATATGCAGTTTTTCATAATTGCAAAGAATGACCTCCGATTTTTCTTCTCTCCCAAATTTTCTCAATAATTCTAAAAAAAATATATAAATTGGGATCATTTTATTCTCTTTGGAGTTCCAAATAACCACCACTAAATGATTTTTGTCAGACGGAATATTAAGGGAAATACATGCCTATGTTGGTGAAGCAATTGAGTGAATTGAAGTTAGAAAGAAGAATAATTACAAAGGGTGGGTCGCACTAGCATCCCTCAGGTCCTTGAGAGGCTTTGGCTCTCGCGGGTGCACACTGGTCTCCAATATATACTGCTATGCCATAAGTGGAAGATTAGATTACAAAAATTAATAATGATACCAAAATAAATATTCAAAAAGCATTCGTAAGCATGAGGAAAATGTATATCTAGATAATGGACACAGAACAGTACCTCATATAAGTCCTCGCTTTGCAACAATACGGGGTTAGGCTTAATTGCTTCCTTTGGAGTGTGTTCCATTGCTCTCCGTACAAGAATTCTGACAAGCGTAAAAAGGAGCTAGTATATGCAGCTATTTTAAAACAACTTACCGGAAATCATTTTCGAATTTGCAAATTCAAACATGCTTTAGAAGGCGCATCTAATAATAGAATCAAAATATATCAATACAAATTCTTGGATTTTATTTAATTTAGTTCGCTATGATTTTAATGTGGAGGTTATCTCCATGACAAGTCTGTATCACTATTTTCTTTCCTGAATTGAAATGTTTCTCCAACAAAGAAGCTCGTAGTTAATAATACAAACGCAAATA